TATCACAAGAATTGGCAAACAAGCAGAATAACCTAAACATAAATAAAGATGTATAAATGAAATATCACCACTAATAAAGACATCATCTAATTAGATAACATTTTTTTGTCACTTGTCACCGCATGTAATCAAGGAGAACCGTAAAAAAGCTTTTCATTAAAGACGGCAAAATTAACGGCTAGTTTTCAATATGTTTGTATGCAATAGTACTTTAATTCATTGATTAATCAGGGAGCGAAATATACGGGTAACGTATGTCAATACCTTGAATTACTGTCATTGTGAGATGATTGATTTGTCCCAGCAACAGAGATATTGTCATCAAACATAGATGTCAATGACATTTATTGATCAGATAAAACCCGTCAGATAATAAATATCAGATTATTTTAGTTACACTGATATATTTCTAGCAGAGAATCACCACTACAATAAACCCAATCCACCCTATTTGTTTATACATGCACATGCAATTAATTGTTGATTTATTGAGTGAAAATGGCCATAGCTAACGTGTGACAAAAAGGTCATATTAACTTTTATTGCTAGGAAATATGATGAAGAAAGTTTAGAGAAATAATTGTACACTTTCATAATAATTATTTAATGAACAGAGTACCAGAGAAGAAATTTCATGAACAAAGCCTCTACAACAAATGTAAAAAGAACATAGCCTTTTACAACAAATGTAATAAGAACAAAGCCTCTACAACAAACATAATTACAACAAAGCCTCTACAACAATTGTAATAAGAACAAAGCCTCTACAACAAATGTAATAAGGACATAGCCTTTACAGAATAAGAACAAAACCTTTACAAAAAATGTAATAAGAACAAAGCCTTTACAACAAATCACATGAGAACAAAGCATTTACAACAAATGTTATAAAAACAAAGCCTCTACAACAAATGTAATAAGAACAAAGCCTCTACAACAAATGTAATAAGAACAAAGCCTCTAAAACAATTGTAATAAGGACATAGCCTTTACAACAAATCTAATAAGAACAAAGCCTCTACAACAAATGTAATAAGAACAAAGCCTCTACAACAAATGTAATAAGAACAAAGCCTCTAAAACAATTATAATAAGGACATAGTTTTTACAACAAATCTAATGAGAACAAAGCCTTTACAACAAATGTAATAAGAACAAAGCCTCTACAACAAATGTAATAAGAATAAAGCTTCTACAACAAATGTAATAAAAACAAAGCCTTTACAACAAATGTAATAAGAACAAAGCCTTTACAACAAATGTAATAAGAATAAAGCTTCTACAACAAATGTTATAAAAACAAAGCCTCTACAACAAATGTAATAAGAACAAAGCCTCTACAACAAATGTAATAAGAGCAAACCCTTACAACAAATGTAATAAGAACAAAGCCTTTACAACAAATGTAATAAAAAACAAAAGTAATAAGAACAGAGCCTTTACAACAAATGTAATAAGAACAAAGCTTTTACAACAATTGTAATAAGAACAAAACCTTTACAACAAAACATATGACAACAAAGCCTTTACATCAAATCCTATGAGAACAAAGCCTTTAAAACAAATCATACAAGAACAAAACCTCTTTAACAAATCATACAAGAACAAAACCTTTTTAATAAATCATACAAGAACAAAGTATTTTTTACTAAATCATACAATAGCAAAGCCTTTTACAACAAATCATACAAGAACAAAGCCTTTTTAATAAATCATACAATAACAAAGTCTTTACAACAAATCATATGAAAACAAAGCTTTCTTAATAATTCCTATGAGAGAACATGCTATGAAAACAAAGCCTTTTACAACAAATCTTATAATATTAAAACGAAAGCAAAATGTATGTGAGACCAAAGTCCATCATATGAAAATCTGTGAGAATGCACCTATGAAATAAATGCATAATAGCTCTAGTTGCTATGCAGGTAACAGAATAACATGATCTTTACTTGCAAGGATATATTTTTCAATGTCATGAGAGTTGTATAGTGCATTACATTGTAAATCTTAAATGAAATACACAGTTTAAATGTAAATCGATGCTTTCTTTTATTAGCTACTCTTTTATTCACATTGTTTTCTTGGTTTGTGTGTGTGTGTGTTTTTTTGCAAGAGGGATTTACAAAATAAACTAGACACTACCTTTGAATAGCTCTACATTATTTTAACCCCATAGGTAGGTAGGTTGTGAAAAACAATATCTACGCTGTTTAAAGTTTAAATCTATTTCTAAATTCAGATTTTAATATTTTATGAGTTCCAGGCCAGTCAAACAAATAAGAAAAACATTGGTGAATATTTTTTTTTTAAATTTTAGATGACACAAGCAACATTAAAATAATGACTGATTCTATAGCAAACTTCCCAAAAACACATTTTCAAAGAATAAGGATAAATAGTTATTTTCTTAACAAAGTAAATTCATAAACTTTCCTAAATTCATAAAAATTTCTATTACAAAATATAAATTTAATGTGTTTTATTTATAACTTTTAATAGAAAATAAAAATGAAGCATTCGACATTCCATGTCCTTCAAACAGCCAAATTGATCTTCATGCATGCAATTATATTGACTTTTCTATTACGGATTGAATTCAGCTAAAATTGCAATATCCAAGAATAATCGTTTGCTGCACCATTTAAATCACTTTCAAACAAACCTTTCAATGAAAGAAAATATCTGATTTTAACGTTTAGCTGTCAAGATTTATATTCCCTTTATTTTCAAAGAAATCTATTTTTCATAAAGATTCCATTGTTGATATCAAAGTTGTTTTCCATTTTGTTTGTTTGACAAAATATAAAAAGTTTTGGCACTTCTTCATAATTATGGACTGGAAAGAAAGCTGTGAAAAGGTAGACAAAGATGAAATAAGATCTTTATTTAAATAAAGTTGGTGCAGTGGGCCAGCATTATCTTTATCAAGGATTGTGTATAGTATTTCATAAATTCCTACCAGTGGCTTCCTTGACGGTTCTTAATTGTTCAAATTTCAATCTATAAACACTAACATTAACTTAATGCAAACAACTGATTGCATGTGGCCACATAACACTAACAACTGGTTATATGGCCATATATGTCAAACATCAACTAATAAATGGCCATTTAATGCATATAACCAGTTTTTTTATGTCCAGATATTGCAACAAACATTATGTATGGCAATATAATGCAAACAACTGCTTGTGCATGGCCATATATTGCAAATAACCACTTACACATGGCCATATATTGCAACAACCAATTAGTCACATGGCCATATATTGCAAAAAAACACTTATTCATGGCCATATATTGCAACAACCAGATATACATGGCATATATTACAAGCAACCCTTTACACATGGTCATATATTGCAAACAACCACTAACACATGGGTTATATATTGCAAGCAACCCCTTAGTCATGGTCATACAGGTACACATGGCAATATAACTTGTAAATAATATAGTGCACCAACTCCCACACAACCTATCAAAAACTCAGATAACAACTGCACATCAACCATTTTTTTTTTAATAATACAAAGTACACTTTGAATTCTTGCTTAATCACTGCCAACTGTCATGATATCTCGTCACTAGGTTCAAATTTTAATCATTCTTTACTCACAGATATAGTTTGGCAAACAATCATAAATTACATTTTTCATGACAATCTATCAAATTTGATCATTCTTAAATTATCAACAGAGATAGGCTACAAAAGTTATGAGCTTTACTATTTCTTCTGTAAAGTACAATTTATCAAATGTAGCATTCAAAGTGGAATCGATGAAGGGTGCGAAAAACGCCCACCTTTCCAATTTATCAAAAATGTTCTGTTTGACGAGTAAATCATACCCTTAGCTTTGAAAACATTTTCAACTTTTAACCAGTCATTAGTAAGTACAGGGGGTTAAATTTTGTTTTATCTGATATATAAAGATGTAGACATTAAAATCTTTAAGGCATACTTAAGACATGAAAAGACAGATTTATAAATCTATAGTGTAATATACAAAAGACACGAAAAAACCATTTTACCCATCAATTGTACAAACTTTTCAAAGGGTATATAAAAGAAGTCGATACTGTCAATGCATTCATCTTCAAATTTAGATTCAAACATTTGGTACCATATCTATAGATAGAATGTGTTGAAAGGTGATTTAATTTCTTTAAATTGACAAAATATTGTAGTTACTTAAACCAGTATTGAAGATCACCTCCAGAAAAAGGCCACCTTTATTTAACATGCAGATTATCAATATCAGATAGATATAAAAATGTTTCTAAACAGAGTGTTATTCTTTTATATAAGTAAAGAAGTTGTTGAAAACAAGGCTTTAAATACCCCTCCACACAAAAGCCACCTGTATTAAGCATATTTTGGATAATTTTCTTTACAATTCTTAACATTGAACAATGCAGGTTGTCAAAAAACAGAAAGAAGTGACTTCTTTACATTAAATGGGTGGGTGAATGATAGTGGTTTAAAAAAACATTGAGATGAGACACATATATCTATATATCAACTTATAAGCCATAATATAAAAAAAATCTTATTTTATTTCTTTTTCTTTCAGTAACATGAAATAACAACTTTCCCATAAAATATTTAAGATGAAATTTTTTATCTCATTTTAACTAAAACATTAAGTATCCATGTTTATTTCAATGTAAACATCACACCTTATGTACATGTACTATGTTCTAGTTTAGGACAAAAACACAAATAAATATAAAAAAAACAACTTATTAAATAATACATTTACATGAACTTCAATCAAAAAACACTTTTTTTTCTTAAAAATTAAATACCTTTCTTTTTCCTCCAATTTAACTTTATTTAAACATCCTAAATACTACACTAATATTAAAAATTCATTATGTCCAAAAATTCCAGTATTATTATTATGGTAACCATGGTAAAGTTAATGATTACATTATTGTTATATCTACATCACATGACCTACCACTAATATCACACATATTATTAAAATACTCACCTTAGTCAACTATGATTCAATATCCATGGAAACCTTAGCACCATCCACTAACAAAAAACCTGTTAAATCGTGACACCGAGAATTAACAAAACGAAAAAAAATCCAACACGAAAAACCAACCCCACGATCAAAGAGTAATTCCTTTTCTAAACTTTAACCATATAAAGTCAATAAATGCTATAGAAATTCGACTATTGGGTGAAATCCATGTATAAAGCCTTCTCCAAGTTAATACGTTATTATATTAAATATATTGAAGCCGTAGAAATTGTTTTTCAACTTACCTATAGCTCTGATCGTGGACTATTATAATGTACGGGTTATATTGAATTTCAGTAGTTGGGGAAAGTGTACTTTAGACAGGTATTTTAAAACCATCTGCATTATTTCACAAAAAGGACATTGTTCAATTCTCCATAAACTGTTTTGTTCAAACCTTGAAATATGATGTGCATTATTTGAAAATCGTACAATGAATGAATAGGAAATATATAAAATCAATGCAGTTTGATCGGTTAAGATAATTTAAAATATCACTTTCAGACGATTTCAGAAGATATTCAGACTTTTTGTGTAAGTTTTGCACAAAAAAATAAAAAATAAATAAACATTAAACTTTCTGTTGCAAGATATCATAGTTTTCTGTAATTGTCCTAAATTAAAAAATTTCTCCACTTCCACACTGTAATATTTCATATTGCTATATTGTTCATAACAACTTCCCCACATGAAAGATGGAGGCACAATAAAACTCTGAAGGAATATGACATATACAAAATATAACAGAACATATTAACAACAAGGAAACCAGCTACATTTGGCTCTTAAATATATAATGGTTTATGTCAAATGATGGGGAAAAAAAGAACAATGTAAGAAAAAAAACATAACGGATCAAACAAATGGGAATAACCTTTCTTATAACTAATCTTACAAAATATTTATACCTGGATGCATAGATCATTCTGTAAGGTTTAATTTGTATTTATTGTGTTAAAATAAAACTGCTGTTTTAATCTATGTTTTTTGTTGTTGTTTTTTTCCTCAAATATTTGTGCAATGTCACTTTGTCAACCCAAAGGACATCCCTTATGATTTCATAAAAGAAGGTTTAAAGTCTTTCTATTCATGATTTTTTGCCTAGACTAAAACTAAATTATTTCAGTTGGCCTAAAATGCTCATGTGCAAAGTATTGATAAACACAGCACCATTTCTTTATATCATATAAACAACATGCCCATTAAAAAAGTTCTAAAATAAGATGTGCCAATACCCATAATATATTTATTTATGTGACCAATTTAATGTCAATACTTAAATGTAATCAGTTGAATAACATTATGAATTTTTAACATACCGTTGATGGGAGAAGTAAGTAAGTTTTCATGTATTCATATGTTAATTAAATTTCGGTCAGATTAACTGAGTTGTGAAAAATGATAAGTGAATGAAGTTCAATAAACATTCATTGAAATTAACACAATTTTATCATTTCTGAGCTGAGTACCTTTAAAATGAAAAGATGTCACATAAATGCGGAACATTATAAAACCGTATATACATTAATAAATACCCATTTCCTTCTTTATGATTTTAATGAAAAGATGTCATGAAAATGCTGAACATTATAATTCCGTATGTACTTTAATAAACACCCATTTCCTAAATAAATGTCCCCTCTTTGATTTCACACAGAATACAATGACAATAGCAATTTATGATAAATCCAAGGAATTTAGCACAAATTAGAGCTGCTGCTTCCAGTAAATAATCTTGCAGAAAATAAGGCAAAAACAGTAAACAGACATTCATTATATTTTGACAACATACACTTTTCTGTATAACTTTTTTTTGTACTAGAATTAACACTCCACCCCTTTTGGAAAATAAAATGAGCCGTGTCACGACAAAACCAACATAATGGGTTTTCGACCAGCATGGATCCAGACCAGCCTGCGCATCCGCACAGTCTGATCAGGATCCATGCTGTTCGCTATCAGTTTATTTACTTGTTATAGGGTCTGTAAGCGAACAGCATGGATACTGATCAGACTGTGCGGATGGGCAGGCTTGTCTGGATCCATGCTGGTCGCAAACGCACTATGTTGGTTTTGTCATGACGCGGCTCAAATGATAATGTGGGCATTTATTAGAGAATATACAGTATGATTATTTTTTTTTCAATGGGATTTCAAAAATGATTTTAATGCTCAAAGTCAGGTTAGAATACCAAAAAAAAACATGACTTTCTGGCATGGCTAAACTCTATACTGATGGAATTTGTTTGTTGCCATAGTACCTTATTCAGTGTACAGTTTGAAATGTACACTTATAATAATATCTGTCAAATGTTGCAGTTCTGATCCGAATATCCATCCAGAGGGGACCACAAACATGTCAGATATTTTTTCATATTCCACTACATTTTAAATTTTTCATCTTAAATATGCCACATGTATAGCACGCCACTCATCTGGCACCCCTCATGCCAGATGAAATTTGAGGCATGGATAAAACTAAGGGAAATACAGTCCGATATGCAAGAACATGATAAATGTCCTGGCTGTATGATGAACAAGTCCATATAAGATATTTAGTGGAGGTAAAGGTTAATCAAATTCATACAATTTACATCCTGGATCAGGGTTGAATAGGCTGACATTTACATTACCAATGTATCTCTTTGGAATAGGTTATTGATTTATGACTTTAATCCCCTGTTAATAAGTGTACTAGTTATTGTATTATTGGTATATTGCTAATTACTTGGTACGTTCCAATGATTATTATGAAAAGTGGTATAATAAGTCACGACAGATAATCAATTTTTGACAGCTATTATATTTTTTTAAATTGAACTGTGTGTGAATAATGTCCATCATGATTGAATGTGTTTTTTTTTCTTTCTCATTTCACATATTATATAGTTGCATGTTTTATTTAATGATCAACATTATTTTTTGTCCAATCACATTGTAGTATTTTTCAAATTTCTGCTAAGTCTAACTTTGGTTAATGTGTATTAAAAAATAAAATTTACTTAATCTGTCGTCTAACCAGTCTAACAGATTTCAATAATGCATTATATTAGGGAGGAGTTAGAGGTGTGATTTGCACTCTGAATTGTAAAATATAAAGGTTAGCAAAACAATGCCAACGTAAAGCGAGGTCAGGTGTTTCTAAATGTGAGGATACAATCAATTAATTTATTACATAGATAATACATGTGGGGCATGCAGAGACAAATGATTACATAGTAACTTTTTTATCCTAAGAAAAATGTCTGTTATAAATTGCTGACTGTTTTAAACTTCTTTTTTTTCTAGAAAAAGTAACCAAAACATAATTTTCTTTCAGTTGATAGGAATGAACTGCATTAACAATCCTTGATATTAAGAATACAATGATTACATTTTTTGGCTGGAAAACTCATTGTAAATTGATCCCCTCCACCTGTAAACCTAGATTGACACACAGAAAAACTTATTTTCAAATCTATAGGGATTTTAAATGTTAGTGAATAACTTAAAGCTAATAACGCATTTGTATATTTTCTCACATTTTCCATTTATTTATAAAGGATGTACACATTTCATTAACTCCGTTGTTTTTACCTATTTGCATCATTTTCTTCGCTGTTTTTTCCAGATATTCTATAGAGACATGATAGTTTTACTTTTATTTTTGTTAATACATATTATTAAACACTAACCTACACTTAAAATGTACAATTAAGAGGAAAGGAAATTAAATAAAAAGATAAAAGTTATATTTTGCTTTACATATCACAAGGTTGAGTGCAATACTGATCCTATTGGATGAGTCAATACTATATTGGATGAGTCAAAACTATATCGGACAAGGCAATAAGGGGTGTGAAATGGATTTGATATAGACTTTTTGGACTCTGGAAATAAAAAAAGAGGCTATTAATTGATAAGATTGGATCCAATAATGATTTGTATTGGAACATCACAGGGTGTAAATGCTTAAAGGGCATTGGCTATATTGTATAACTTGTGAAATAAGCTACCTTACAACAGAGTCTTTCAAATGATTTTAAAGACCCTGCTTACAAGCATAAATTTATGTTGTTGTCCTCTATATATCTGTTCATATTTACGCCATGCATCACATTGACTGATTTACTTAAACTAGACAAACTAGGTTTTATTTTATAGCAATAATTTAAATTGGAATTGAAAAGTATCAGCATAAGAAAAATTTCATACTCTAATTTAGTACAATGATCATTTTCTGCCTACATGAGAACCTAAGTAGAATCACTTTTATATTTTGGAAAGTTTCCATGCATTATCTCCCTTTATATTCAAATTCAAATCAACAAAAGAACAATACTTAAGTGGTTTACTGATAGAAAAGATAGCAATTCTTGAGCAATTTAACCAATGTGGCCATTTTCTATACTTATTTCTTATCATTTTTTTTTTTCATCTTGCTAATGGCATATTAACAACAATTTGCAAACTTTATGTCAAGCATCGTTTTCGTGGCATTTAAAAAACCCATAAATATTCTGTCCCTATTAAAAATGCAAATGATCAAACGACAAAGAGAGCAATATGTACCGCATCAATACAGCTTGACTTTATAACCATTTGCTCGAAACATTTTCATTACCCCTTATAAATCATGCATATGTAAACGTGATCAGTCAAGCATAACAATGTTAAATTATCATATGACAGGTCTGAGGTTCAATTATCAATAAGCTCGCTGACTTTTTCGCAATTTTGTAAAAGTCATCACTTCGGATGGCTTTTTTCTCCCTTAATTAAACTTAAAGGTATTGTGATCAAATTTCTGGAACACGTAACTTTTAGAATGTCTTATAAATAATAAACAAGAAAAGCATTGATGCAAAGCATCAAAGGGCATCCAAGCAAGAAATGCAGCAGGTGAAGATGAACTAGTAGACATAATGTCGTTATATATTGTAACCAAACTAAGTGACAAACATTTATTTTGGAAAAAAAGCTTATTTATCTGTAAAATATTTGTTCTGTTCTGTAATGATATCAAACATCTACTCCAACCCGGAGATAAACGTGTGATACTATTGGCCGGCCACTAGTAAATCCCGGTCAAAATAGACCGGGAGAGACCGGGAATTACCGATAGGAGTACATCCCTCTATAAATAGATTTTCGGAATATTTAGGTCATCAACTCATCATTCTATTTACAGCTTTCGGATACATCTGGGATATAAGATTTCATTTGAAAATGTTTGCATTGCGAAATTCTCCAGTTCGCTATTCATTGTACATATCGCGACATTTCATTTTTAATTAATAATCAAGCACCCTCATACCGATCGGAATGATCGGCTTTTATTATGACCGACTAAAAGGCTCGAGATGTTGCTGTCGCCCTTTCACAAAATCTGATTTCATTCCATAAGAGGCGCCGCGCTTCGGCGCGGACGCCAATCAAGGCAATATATCATAAAGTAATTAAATTTATTTGAAAAAAACTAACTGAGAGCTGGCAGAAGAAATGAGACAGGCCTTTAAGATTAATGTAACAAATAAACAAGCCTATAAGCTTCATGCCAGAAATAAATGGGCATATGAGTCTTATCGACGCTTATGTCACAAACAAACTGGTCTAGAAGGCTTATGCAACAGACTTATGAGGCTTATGCCAGACTTGCTGCCTTACTTAGTGAAACACATGTCAAATATTTTGATAATCTATTAAGTAATGACATCAAATATGATAAAAGTTTTAACCAAGACTGGATTTGACCTTTGACCTTCAAGAATGACCTTGATTGTGGGGAAAAGGGTATTGCATGAGACATATTGTTGACTACTGTCTGACAAATGCCAAATATTTGACAATTCATGAAGAATACTGAATTGACAAAGTTATAAGCTGGACAGGATTTGACCTTTAACCTTCAAGTTTGACCTAAACCATGAATGTGAGGATGTGGGTTTTACACATGACACATTGTCTACTTATGGTTATCAAGACTTAGTGTAAACAGCAAAAAACTAGAAACATATCCATAGCACACATATACCCCCACATTCCACAGTTTTATCAATCAATGGGCAAACAGCAAAACAACGGGACCAAATCGGACAGGGCAAATCTATAATTCTATATGCTCCCTAAATATTTGGGGCATAACAATATAAAAATGGAGATATTTATTTCAATTTGGGAGTAGCTTTGAAATGTTTGATATAAAAAATAGTTGGGGCATAACAATATAAGGGATATATTTATTTCAATATGGGAGTAGCTTTGAAATGCTTGATATAAAAAAATACAATACACAGTTGGCATACCTATATTGTGATTGAGTAAACATCTTATAACATAACTCATTACTTATGATTCTTCTTACTTCATAAAGCTGTATGTCAATATGTCTAAACCAAGACCAATTTATATTGAATCAAATTTCAATAATCTTTCAGGTAAATTTGATTATTTAAAGTGGCATGATTAAGTGATCAATATAAAAACATTCATAGCTGTTATATAATCATTCATGATAATTATCATAATTTATAGCTAGTGTATGGATATCTTAATAAAATACAATATAAAAAAAAAAACATAAAATAATTAAAGGTTTTATTTTTTGTGCTTTGATGTTAAGACATTAAATAGTCTTTAGTCTAGAAACCTATATAAGGAGTATAAATCTTGAAATTGACCTTGATCATAAACTACCAATGAAAAAATGCGCCAGGAATGATTTGAAGTGAGAACATGTATTGTTTAATCTAAACATAAGATCAGTTCAATTCAAGGCTATGTTAGCAGATTCTATATAGTTAAAGAATTCAATCATAGCTACCAAGTATAAGCAAACACCAGGTAATTTAAACCAAATATTTATAAACACAAATATAGTCTCAACAGAGAATATGGAGATTGATTGAATATTCAGTAAATATATATACTATAAAAATACATGTCACAAAAGCTATATGCATAAAAAAATCACAATGCCCTTACATTAACGAAACTATTAATTTTGTTTGATTTCAAATAAATCTCAATATAAAAGGTCATCTGGCAATATTTCAGGTTTAATTGGGTTATATCGGAATCTGCCCCTTCAATCATTGGTTTAGCCACAGAAATACCATAATATATCACCTTAGTGCAGTAATGGGTTAAGTCCTTCTAAATCTAATATGAGTTAACCAGTTATTGCACTAAGGTGATGCATAAAATGCTAATAACTTTTCTGCAAGCCAACAAGATAACTTTCTTAAATTCAAAATATTTTAAAAATCAAGTTTTAAGTGGGTTCTCATAGATGGGCGGCGGGTAGATGAAACTATTCCGGGACAAGTTCCGAGTGTGTCCATGGGCAAGCGAAATGAAAAAAGTCAATATTGTCGCAAGTATTTATCAAACATAACATAGAAGCCGGGTTGTCATGAACTACCTACACAAACCATTACACCTACGTTAATGGTCGATACTGACAAATATTGGCACTATAAAGTTAAATAAATGCAAAGTTTGCTAGCTTAACAATATATGATAATAGCTGATAATACAAAGAAAGCCCTTCAAAAAAAAGTACAAATAAATGTCCATGACTTAACATTATTAACATGTAAAATGAGAATAGAATTTAAATATAGGGCATGTAATTATATTCCATTTTAATTTCCGCCCCCAGTGCACTTATAAATATATAATAACAAATGAAACAGTAGCTAATTGATAAAACTCATGTACCATCATGAAAACTTGTCAATAAAACAAATAAAATACAATTGGGTACCGAATAATATTCAGTCACTACATATCATTTTGTGACAGCCACCTTGACCTTTGAACTGGCTTATGACCCTTAACCCTTTACCACATATATACGCGAAACAACGCACTTTCGACCCCCCCCCCCTTTTTTAGGCCTCAAATAGTGAAAAAATGTCCTATTTGGGCCCCAAACATAAGTTTTTGTTTGAGAAATGTTGCTTAAAAAATTGAGCACTTTTTGGGCGCCGCCCCCCATCAAAAGATAGATCAGGGGGTTGCCAGAAGGGGGATGTGCCCCCTTCTGTTAGGGGGGTTTGAAGGGGGGCGGAGTCCCCCTCATCGCCAAGAAAATTTTGGACTTGTGAGAGGCTTAAAATGACCCCAGGTCGATTATAATGTAACGTTTAACCAACGCTGAAAAGCCTTTGACTCTATCTCAATCCCTTGAGAAGTTGCAGCACTTTGAAATAAATTTTGATGGAAAAAATCGAGGCAAAATAGTGATTTTTGGCAGTTTTGAGATGTCCCCTCGTTGCCATGGTAACAGGAAATTTAAGACTGAGCATGTCGTTACAAAGGCAATGGTCCAGTCAACATTTGTGCCAAGTTTGATAAGTATTGAAGCATTTTTCATAGTTTCATAGCAGTTTGAACTTGTAGCAGGAGGCTTTTCAGTGAAAACGGCCATTTTTCACAATATGCTCATGGGGGAAAGGGTTAAACAATAGGGTCACCAACTATTATCTGAAACAATCATTGAATTATATGTTTCCATTGTCACAATGATCTTGATATCGAAACTTCATTTCCAACCTTCTACTAATGACCTTGACCTCTGACCTACTTGCTAAATACATTTTCGGCCATGACATTAACCTTTGACCCACTAACACATGAGTTCTGCTTCGTGTATTAGGTCTCGGTCACTTAAGACCTTGAAACTACTGATCATTACATCCTTGAATTCTGCCCCTAAGCATAATCTATATTGTTAAAAAAGTAACAACTACAAAGTTGAGTAACTAAGTATAATGGCAAACAAACAAAGTGTGAAAGTACATTATTACCTGTTTTTGTTTAATATTCCAGATTCATGAATTAGAGTAAATTTCACTATTTTTTAAATAAATTAATTCATTAGATAAATTAAATAAAGTTCTGACTGACAAAAATGTAGTTCATAATAATTTATTTAAAAAAATGTAAAAATAAGACCAACTATTTGAATAGTAGTTATTCACACACTTTATTTCATGAAACATAAGATATAATATCAAAGAAAAAGAGAGAAAGCATTTACAACTAAATGGATTACAAACATAACAATGTTTATCACACAATACCCAATCTAAATCCTCTGCCTTTCTTTTATACAATTGGTCATAATACATAAAATACCATAAAAACCAATTCTCATGAAACTTTTGTAGATACATGTAACAATAAAACAGGGAATAAATTAACACTTGCACAGACAAGTTGAAATTAAATCTCTTTACACAATCATATTTGTTGGTATGACACTATAGAAGAGATTAAATTTACACCAATAAAAGGTTAAAGTAATAAGAAAATGTAATTTATAAAGCATTTTATATGATATACTTGATATGATACTGCATTGTGCAGTTGTCATTTATTGTGCTTATTTATTGACTTGTGTCTATATTCCAATTAAACTTTATCTGCATATAGAATAAAGCAATAAATAATTAAAATATTTTGTAGAAATATTTATTTTCATAAATAGTAAATTTCTTTTCACAACTTTCATGGAACACATATCTATTTATACATGTATAACACAAACTTTTAATTTCTATGAAATTTATTTTTTAATTTGCATAAAAAGGTGAAAATTAAAATATCATGTACACCAAATAGTCCAAAGCAATAAAAATTGATATATTTTGTATAGAACAGAACAAAAGGATATTTTGTATAAATATTTATTCTTATAAATACATGTAATAAATAATTTTCCTGCAAAACCATTTACAACTTTTCATAAAATACATAATAATTATGTACTTTTATAACAATATGAAAAATTATTAATATAATTACATTTTTTTCAATTTGCTCAAAAAGGTGAAAATTAAATGAAGTCATTATGTTCATCAATTTATTTTACGACAATGTTATTTCTTATGGAATAAAGATTTTTTAAACACAGATGATTTCATTTCATTTTGAAATAACACTTATATATTATCGGTCAACATATTTTCCAAATTTTGAGGTTTTAATGTTGAGTTGAAAACACATGCTTTCAAAAATCATAAGATATTGTAAACATTTTGACATTCATTTTTTGATAACACCAAGAATCATATTCTTTAAACAACTTTCTTAAACATAAATTAATATCAATAAAAGTAAAAAAAATAAAATACATAAATTTCAAAATACTACGGTATTAGTAAAATCTGCATACTATGAAACATGAAATAATTTGATTTAAATAAAGGAAATACAACAATGTTATAGTAAATATTAGAATGAATTAAAATATTTAGGATACAATAATAAATAACATTTTTCTTATTAAAAGCTGTGAGTACTACACCTATAATATTGACTAAATAATTACAAGTTAATCCCTGACACAAAATTTATTAATGGAACACTAATAAAGTGAACATAACAGTGGCATAATGGGGTACTGAATTTTTTCCCCTTTACAAGATTTAAACTCTTTCTCTTTAACATTTACCCTGCTGGTGGCACATTACTTTATCCATGCGACCACAGCAGACCAAGATCTGTGGGCACATCCATGCAGTCTGATCATGGTCTGCACTGTTTATGATTCAGTCAGTACTTATTTTGAAATATTTACTAAAAATATTGAATACTTTTGGCATGACTGAAAGATGAACAAATTCATTTGAAATATTCGGCATGGTAAGGATTATAAATGCCCTCTTTTTTCAAGTCAATCCTTTTATTTTTGCTTTTCAATGATTTGCTATGCAACTCAGCTTTATTCTGTACAAATTATTACAGCATTGGCTGTAACAAGCTCAAATACATAACAAATTGGAGACTCTCTGTTTTCATTTATTACTTAATCTCCTTGCTTCTACACAAAGTCGAGGATTAAATTTTACACTGGAATAAAAATAAAATCATTTGCGCTGAGTCACGACAAAACCAACATAATGGGTTTGCGACCAGCATGGATCCAGACCAGCCTGTGCATCCGCGCAGTCTGATCAGGATCCATGCTGTTCGCTTACCAACTCTATTACAATTAGAGAAACTGATAGCCAACAGCATGGATCCTGATCAGATTGCGCGGTCGCAAACCCATTACGTTGGTTTTGTCGTGACGCGGCTCAAATCATTTCATTCATGTTTGATCTGAAAATCTGTTTTTAATCTAAGGTTAGTTACCTTTACTGACAATCAGCTGTTTCTATCTGATACTATAATTACTGTATATATAAGAACAATTTTTTGACATGTGTGTGCAACTTTTTGAAGGTTGTACATGCAATAAACTGCCTGACTACCCAAAACATACATAGGAATAAAATAATAAGGACATGCAATGGTTCTGAAATTACGAAATTCAATAGTGGTCTATTACCTCTAATCACCTGTTAATCAAGGCATGGGTGAAATCCAGTCAATTGTGTTTATTATGGAATTAAACTAGTGCTATAGTATGATTTAAGGTCTCTGCCTGGCTACAGGTATTTCTAGAGGTGCAGGCTGGTCTGGCTTAACACTGACCAATATTGATGGTAGCACTCACAAGTTTCATAAAGTTTACTTATAATTGAATATAATACTTTAGCTGCATGAGAGCACTTTATAAATATTTACATTTGCCATGGATAAGGATATACTTTTAAATATATATATAAAAAAAATACCATCAATTACAAAAAAATACCATCAATTACAAAACTTATCAGTAAAAGGAACTTTACTGCCACAAAATGTTCAAACCTTTAACCTGCTGGTGGCATAAAATCTATCCATACCACCAGTGTAGACCAAGGTCAGCCTGCACATCCATGCCATCATGATCTGACAGTTCACTACTCAGTCAGTACTAATTTTTTGAAAATTTCACTAAAACTGACGAATTGTTTGAAAGATTTAGTGTCTACCGTATTACACACAGAAAATAAAACATTCATTCTATAGAAATCACAAAATATCCTGATACTTGAGATATCAAAATGATGTGATAGAGGTTCTTTATATGAGACGCGTCACGACAAAACCAACATAATGGGTTTGCGACCAGCATTGATCCAGACCAGCCTGCGCATCCGTGCAGTCTGATCAGGATCCATACTGTTCGCTTACCAACCCTACTACAAGTAGAGAAACTAATAGCGAACAGCATGGATCCTGATCAGACTGCGCAGGCTGGTCTGGATCCATGCTGGTCGCAAACGCACTGTATGTTGGTTTTGTCATGACACGGTTCTTTATAATGTAAAAATATTAAACAGACACACAAATTCACCAAGCCTAACAATTACCCTTTATAACTATGGAAAAGTATTTATTCAAGCTAAATATTTTAAGCAGATTAATATTTTTTTGTGTAGAAATATTTAACAATTTTCAGATCATCTCATTCAATATGGAATGTTAAATATCATAGAAACAATGTCTATATCCTGAGGTATGTAATATTCCCGTAAAATCATGGCACCGCCTAGGATTTTCACATTGACTTAAACATAAAAGTAATGAATAGTTTCATCAATGCTCTAAATATATTTTAAGGTAGTAAGGAAAACTTGAAAGCAGCTGACGGTAAAGCACTATTAAGTGCTTTTAAATCACTTTTACTTATCATAGAGTTGCAGAAGAATCAAGGAGTAAATTTTTCTGTCAGCTTGCCGGATAATGAACTCATTTTCAGATATGCATATTTAACAAGTGATGTCACACGGACAGTGCACTTAACTATTCCCAGTAATTGATTACAAATATAAAACAAAAGCAATTCTGGTATATTTGAAGTAGTTTGGTATGTGGAATGATTAAGTAAGTATCCGTATATCTTGATATGTGAGTTACAACTATCAGCATAAACCTCCATTGCTTGTGGAATCATAAGATTCAAAACCTTAATAATTAATGTCCCGAGTTCACAAAGGGAGACTATTCAGTAAAAATCCATGCTTGGAAATGTTGGAATTACCTAACCTGTTAAAGTGAAATGAGGTTGCACGCTTAAACTTTAACAACTAATGTGATCAAGCAGTTGAGTTGGATAGATCCTGATTTTTTTTTGCAAATAGGCGAGCTAAAATACTATGACACTTTATTGTAAAGATAATTATGTGATATAGTTTTTATTCTAATGTAAATGGGAGACTACTCATGTATATTTTCAATAACAGTTTGATACTCTTAACAAGATTTGCAATCAAATATTTGTTTTCACTTTGTAATATTTGATCTTCTCCAAAACAAACACAAAACAAAAACAAACAGAAAAAAAACAGTAGCCTTAATACAGGTACATGTAAATAGATTAAAGTACATATAACAAAATATTTGTTTTGAATACTTGATAAACATTAAGTTATTTTGAAAAATGATGTCATTTATTGACTTTACATATGATTAATGACGTCATAATGTTTTAGATTACACATGAGTAATAGAAAAATCATAAAGAAATATATTACAAAATATAATATAAAACAGACATCATGTGATAAAAAGCATAACACAGTAACTAAAGATTATCTCATCTTATAATACATTCAGACACTAACAATTTCGAGTTATCAATCAATTATTATCATGGAATGTTAAAATATTAAATCAAATGGTTCTAAATTAGCACTATCTCAATAATCACACAAGGGAGTGCTAGTCTAGTGGTTATGGCATCTGGCTTTTAAACTGGTGGTCATTGGTTCAAACTCTACTTTGGTCACCACCATGTTTCCTCATATGACATAATTCCCTGTGCTCACAAAGAAAAGATCAGGATCAGGTGGCACTGATTTTATTTATATTACTTTATGACACTAAAATGTAATGCGTAAGGATAAGATAATACACATTCACTACAGTAGGAACCCACAGTACACATTCCGTATATGCTACATTAATCGATACTGGCATACGGTCAATAGCTTGGGTTACTGAGGATATATAATACAGTGCATGAAGCAAAATGTAAAAGATTTCTAATTTGCAAAGAAATAACGCTATTTTGGGATAAAAATAAGGATTTTTTAAGGATTTTAGAACAAAGTGGAGTCAATCTAAATCTAAGTGAACACAGGGTCAGTACTAGTAAGTCAAATAAATAGCAAGCCATCTTCATAATAAAGCTTACTGTAAATAAATTAAATAAATTCTATTTTATAAGATTTACCTCTAATAATCACTCTGTATCTAGAATAATTAAATGTAAATATAGAATAACAGTTAACACTTATTTTAATATATTTATAATCTACAGTAAAATTTTATATATAACATTTTATATCTCATTTGCTACAAATACTTTATATTTTACTACAATGTCAAGTATGAAGTAAGCCTAAACCTAACAATAAAACTTTATCACAATTTAGGTTTTGAGTTTTAATTTTAAGTAAAGCACTAAAATGAAATATACAATATCACATAAGGTAAGCATTTCATGTGGCACTTAGGGCATATTTATTGTCAATTCAATTTTGAGCCAATCAAAACACAGAGAATTCTCTCCTTGATTTTTGACCAATCAAAACACAGAGATTTTGTCTCTTCTCATCAGGATGATCTCATCATCTAAGGTGAGTATTATCTGAAAGTAAAACAAGATCATTTTATACAGTGATATATAAGTGTAGGTCAACAATGATAGAGATACTCCAGAGCTTGGCAAATGTGGGTTATTACCACACTTTGTAACTACAGGCCAACTAGTTTGTTTGTTTGTTTGATTGGGTTTTACGTCACACCAACACAGTATACGTCATTTGGCGACATTCCAGCTTTACTGGTGGAGGAAGAACTCAGGTGCTCTTCCGTGCATTATTTCCGGCATGAACGGGCACCTGAGTAGAACCACCGACATTCCGTAAGCTAGCTGGATAGCTTCCTCACATGAAAGAATCCAAAGTCCCTGTGGATTCGAACCCACAGTGGTGAGGGGCAAGTGGTTTGAAGTCAACGACCTTCACCACTCGGCCATGGACTCCCCCATGGCCAATTAGTTAATGCTACATATCAAACACCTTACTTTCTGACATTTTAGTTTTCTTTCAAAAGGTTTTGTTAATAACTGACAGCAAAAGATTGATAAAGTGGGGCGAGAATTAAAAAAAAATAGTGCAAATGGTGATACAAGCAAGAAAATTTTTCAGGATTTTATCTTTTGATTATGAAAACTTCACAAGTGAAGTGGGTCCAGAAATATATCTCTGCTCATTCCAGATAGTAGACATCAGGTACCTCTGAACATTATAGCTCAGATCAGCAAAAGAATATTATTGCCATGAAAATAGATCTGACTTACCAGGAATGAGAAGAAAAGACTTATGGCAGACAGGAAGTGCCAGATATCATGTTTGTCATAAAACTGGAACAGTGAACATTCTTGGTTCCCGGCCCGAGATCCGGCTGGTGACAGCTGAAAATATACACAAATTTACATCAGATATTTATCATGTGTTCGTGAATTACAATACATACAGTATTTACGTACACATAGCTTAAACATTTTTATTTAAAATTAATGGCTAAACAAGTTTCAACTTACATTGATCTGTTCAATTTCCAGAACTGTTCAGTCATACATGTGACAAATGAAATGGGCCAAATCTGGATTTTCAGCTGGATTTTGAGGCTCAAAACTGGATTTTTTTTATCGACTTGAATTTCAAAGCGTGTTTGGCACATTTGGTTCAAAGAATCTATATTACCCTCAAAATCATTAAATTATGATTTTTTTGTGGATCAATATTAATTTATTTCACCAAAAAATAAATGAATAGATAAATAAATAAGTGTAGTCATACAGGCTATTTCAAAACAGTCACATTTTCACATTTCATTATTTTCAGTTTGAAGAATTATATCTGTCTTTTCAGTCATTCAATAATTGTCTACAAGCTATTTGAAAACGTACAACAACTATTCATGAACATAAGACTCTGACAGTTAAATAACGTAACATAAGTAGAAGACTCAAAATAAATGCAAGAATCGTTCCGTTAATTAAATCCACATTTTTGCCTCGATGATAGTGTAATTCCTAAACAAAACAAAAAAATTACCCACTCACTAAAAATAGGTTAATTAGACATCTCGAACAGGTTTTTGAATGATCCACTTTAAATGATTCTGCTCACCTTTTATCTTTATCAGTGCGGCACTAATCAAAGAAAATCAAAGGTTGAGCCGAATTCATACATGTAAATTTACAGGGTAGTTTTGATGACGTAGCGTGTAATACCTACTGCCAAATTACAAAAGAGGTCAATTGATTGACACACGACACGTGATAAGTTAAACATGTGAGAATAACTTTGGGTATAGGATTGTTTATTACGTCACCTTGCTGTCAATTAGTGACTCAACATTTAATCCGCTATAATTTAGGATATGGACAGATAACAATCAATGCCCGGAGGCACGGTTTACATTTTAGATACAGGTGCTGTGTTTGATTTTTTTTATGTTGATTTTTTTTTAAATATCGGGAATTCAAGCTGTAATATCGGGAATCGGGATCAGTGTTGAAATATCGGGATTTTTTTAAATCCCGCCGGGATGTCACATGTATGTTCAGTAGTTGTGTCAAATAATGAAATGTTACTTGCAATTAAGACAAATTGTAAGAAGCAATCTTAATTCATATTAGAATTGGCAATATTTTGCAATGTCTATTTCATGAAAAGTCAATGCAATTGAAAACTGTTTTCCTATATACTAATATATGTACATATAAATTATCAACTTTGTACTATGGATAGGACCAAACTGTTATACGAAGCATTAAGTTCACATACCTGCCAGCTAGTTAGATGTGCTACAAAGAAGTACAAAGCAAACCCCCATGTTACGCCAGCTATCAGTATAAAAGCCTTCGTCAAGTGAGGTATCTTCTCCTTAGCCCACCACTAAAAATAATAGTATACAATTTAAAGCAGCACGCCTTCAGATTCATGTTAATTTTTCATGAAAATAAAATTTTGGAAACGTATTTAAAAGTTAAATATTGTGAGGCGAACAAATAAAGCAATTGACATATTGCAATTGACACTTAAAATCCAAGAAAATTACCAAAAAGTGGCAACATATGCAAAAACAGCTCTTACTGTGTTAGTAACACAGTAGGAATATGGTAATAAAATACAGCAAAATGAGTCTTAAACTGCACAAAACATGTGAAATATAACTTGGATCTTGAATTACTTTACCTGTTTTTAGTTTTAGTACATTTTTTTATTATTGATTTTCTTGAAATATTCTTGCTCATCTGGAGGCATGCAGCTTTAACACTCATCCTGCTGAAACTGATCAGCCTTTTGCTGCCAGTATAGAGCCAGGCCAACTTGCTTACAGTGCAGACAGACCAGGGTCCATAATGTTGGCTGTTCAGCTTCAAATTCTCATTTTTATATTCCCAAAATTGGTAACAGACAGGGTCAACAAGTTCATTTATGAAGTTAAAGAAACTCAACTTAAGACCAAAAGCCTAAAACATGAAATTTGATTTTTTTCATAGATCAGCTGGGGCACTTAAAAATAGTAATACATGTATATGCAAAAGATAATTAAGAAATATGCTTAGAAACAAATTGAAAATCATATTTTGTGCTATTCTTGTGAAAAGCCTTGCAACGCTTTTCAATTTTTGGATCATTTTCCACAATTAGAATTATTATTCAGGAAAAACAGAGTGAACAAACGATCTGAAATTTTGCAAACAAGTTATTGAGCTAGACCTACATCTAATGGATGTAATAGAACATTTACCTGGAAAAATTATTTCCAGTCCTGTCATGCCAAATAACCACAGTGGAGTCCCTTTAAGGGTTAAAGAAATATTTCATGTTTTGCCAGAACGTATGCTATTTCATGTGTAGATTATCATGTACTCCAGAAATAAAATATTTTATTTTAAACATCATTGTTCTTAGAAGTAGAAGAAAACCTTATCATTCAAATGTTTGACATTAGAGCAGCATGCCTCCAAATTCATCCTTATTTTATGAAAATAAGGAAATTGTGTTTAAAAGTAAAATATTGTGTAGTGAACAATTGAAGTTTTAAGTTATCATATTGCAAAATCATCATTAATTACCAAATAGAGGCCAAAATATGCAAAAAAACAGCAGTTAATGTGTTAGTCGAGCAGTGGAAATATGCTTAAATACTGCAAAATCAGTCTTTAATGGCACAGAGCATGTAAATCATTACTTGAATCTTGAATTGTTTAACTTTTCATAAAATCTCATTTTTGGCAAGCTTGATTTTCTTGTAATATTTTGGCTAATCTGGAGAAGTGTAGCTTTAAGAATTATCTCCTTGTAACAACCCCTATCATCTCTAAACATGAAATTTGTTAATATTTTTATCATTTTTCTTTATTATAAAATATTACTCACATATAAATTATTACCAAGAGATAAAAAATCTCTAGAAAGCACTGTCCAGGAGATTTCATTAGTAAAAAACACACTGACAAACTTAATGTCTATTATGCAACTGTTTGGCATTACACACTCTAAAAAAGTATGTAAGTGATATTAGAATCATAAGAGTTGTCTCCCTTGAACAAATAATTTAGGATATTCACTTACCTTTGAAGCAATGTAGAATACTGTATATAGAATAAGGTTGGCAATGAAAATGGTAAGCAGGAATGAGGCAAAGTCTGAGGTTTTGTTTTTTGCAACACCATATATAGCTCTGTAAATAGAGGTATACCAAGGTGGGATAAACATTGTGTAGGTATATAGATATCTGAGTAAAAATAAAGTGCAATGATTTAATATTTACAAATGCAAATGTGTGTTTCATCATAGTTTAAATTTGTCAAGTTCCGATTTAAATCTTCAGTTCTGAAGACTATTCTTTCAAAAATCACCATCCATATAACAGAAGGTTTTTATACAAAAAACTGTATTGAGCCCCTGTCATCTAAAATCACTTAAAACATTTTTTTCTAAATCAGACTTCTTGTGTTTTAAATAAAATGACAAAGGTCTTTTATGAACACTATTTTGGTCTTGTAGCAATAAACTTATCTCCTTGAAAGTGCACACCTAGTTACCTATAACCGGAGTAATTTTTCTGAATTTTCCACATTGACAAAAGGGAAAAAGCATTCTCGGAAAATCAATATTTGTTTTGTTAAATATACATACATGACTCATTGGTGTATTGGCATTTTTCAACAGTATTATGGGCATATACCATAGCTTGGTAAATTAAATGTTTGTTTATTAACTTGATAAATTTGTTATAAGGATTTGATCTGCTTTGGATTTGGAATGATCCATTGGTAGTTCATGTGGGTTTCCAATATCAAAACTACTTAACCTATTCCCTTATAAAAGCGTGTTTGGACGACTTTTTGCCCCCCCCCCCCCTTTGAGGCCTCAAACAGTGAAATAATGCCCTTTTCACGCCCCAAACCCTGTTTTTCGTTTGAGAAATGTTGTTAAAAAAAGTGACCACTTTTTCGGCGCCGTCCCCCATCCAAATATTACATCAGGGGGTTGCCAGAAGGGGGATGTGCCCCCTTGTGTTTGGGGGGTTTGAAGGGGGGCGGAGTCCCCTTCATCGCCAAGAAAATTTTGGACATGTGACAGGCTAAAAATGGCCTCAGGTCGATCTTAGGGTAACTAGTAACCGACGCTGAAAAGCCTTTTACTCTATCTCAATTCATTGAGAAGTTGCAGCACTTTGAAATCAGTTTTGATGGAAAAAAAACAATGCAAAATAGTGATTTTTGGCAATTTTGAGACGTCCCCCCGTTGCCATGGTAACAGGAAATTTACCATTGAGCATGTTGTTACAGAGGTTATGGTTAAGTCAACATTTGTGCCAAGTTTCATTAGTATTGAAGCATTTTTCATAGTTTCATAGCAGTTTGAACTTGTTACAGGAGGCTTTTCAATGAAAACGGCCATTTTTCGCAATATGCTCATGGGGTAAAAGGTTAAATTACAACTTAACTAAAGCCAGTTCATGGCGTTTCAATATAAAACCACTTAAATTACTACTTAACTAAAACCAGTTCATGGGGGTTTCAAAATAAAACTACTTAAACTAGACCTATCACTGAAGGTGATTAATACCCCCACCAGCAACTTTGACTCTTGAACAATAAGTTGTCTGAAGAAAAATTTGAAATAAACCTACAGTAAATAAAGTACCATCAGCACTGTGTACAAAGAATTATTTCAATTTATTGCAATCCCAACTATCTTGATCTTGATATAAGCTTGCTATACACCAAGTTTGATAACAATATCTCATTCCTAACCCTAGTAATTGTCTGGAAACCATTTTTCTACTTTTAGTAACTGTGACCTTGAACCCAGGGAGTCCAAATGCAATACCAAGTGCGGTCTTCATGTAAGCTTGCTAAACACCAAGTTTGATTACAATATATGATTCCTAACTTTAGTTATTGTCCGGAAACCATTTTTCTATTTTTAGTAATGGTGACCTTGACCTTGGCCCAAGGGGGGTCCAGATGCAATACCAACCTATGTCTTCATATAAGCTTGCTATATACCAAGTTTGATTACAATATCTCATTCCTAACTTTAGTTATTGTCCGGAAACCATTTTTCTATTTTTAGTAACGGTGACCTTGACTTTGGCCCCAGGGGGTCCAGATGCACTACCAACCGGGGTCTTCATATAAGCTTGCTATATACCAAGTTTGATTACAATATCTCATTCCTAACTTTAGTTATAGTCCGGGAAACCATTTTTCTATTTTCAGTAACGGTGACCTTGACCTTGGCCCCAGGGGGTCCAGATGCAATACCAACCGGGGTCTTCATATAAGCTTGCTATATACCAAGTTTGATTACAATATCTCATTCCTAACTTTAGTTATTGTCCGGAAACCATTTTTCTATTTTTAGTAACGGTGACCTTGACCTTGGCCCCAGGGGGTCCAGATGCAATTCCAACAGGGGTCTTCATATAAGCTTGCTATATACCAAGTTTGATTACAATATCTCATTCCTAACTTTAGTTATAGTCCGGGAAACCATTTTTCTATTTTTAGTAACGGTGACCTTGACCTTGGCCCCAGGGGGTCCAGATGCAATACCAACCGGGGTCTTCATATAAGCTTGCTATATACCAAGTTTGATTACAATATCTCATTCCTAACTTTAGTTATTGTCCGGAAACCATTTTTCTATTTTTAGTAACAGTGACCTTGACCCCAGGGGGTCCAGATGCAATACCAACAGGGGTCTTCATATAAGCTTGCTGTACATCAAGTTTGATTACAATATCTCATTCCTAACTTAAGTTATTGTCCGGAAACCATTTTTCTATTTTTAGTAACAGTGACCTTGACCTTGCTCCAGGGGGTCCAGATGCAATACCAACCGGGGTCTTCATATAAGCTTGCTGTACATCAAGTTTGATTACAATATCTCATTCCTAACTTTAGTTATTGTCCGGACACCATTTTTCTATTTTTAGTAACGGTGACCTTGACCTTGGCCCAAGGGGGTCCAGATGCAATACCAACCGGGGTCTTCATATAAGCTTGCTGTACATCAAATTTGATCACAATATCTCATTCCTAACTTTAGTTATTGTCCGGGAAACCATTTTTCTATTTTTAGTAACGGTGACCTTGACCTTGGCCCCAGGGGGTCCAGATGCAATACCAACCGGGGTTTTCATATAAGCTTGCTATATACCAAGTTTGATTACAATATCTCATTCCTAACTTTAGTTATTGTCCGGAAACCATTTTTCTATTTTTAGTAACGGTGACCTTGACCTTGGCCCCAGGGGGTCCAGATGCAATACCAACCGGAGTTTCCACATAAGGTTGCTATAAACCAAGTTTGATTACAATACCTCACTCAAAACTCTAGTTATCGTCTGGAAACCATGATGTGGACGGACCGACGGACCGACCAACCGACAAGCTGACTCCTATATACCCCCCCTAAACTTCGTTTGTGGGGGTATAATTAAGCAGCTAGTAGACTGAACTTGCCATGGAGAAAAAAAGGGCAATAGACATACAACTTTAACTGTTATATAACCCTCACCAAGAAGTTTGGGTAATATAAGCTTCAATTGTTTTTATTGGGCTATATAACCTGTCAAAAATATTTTCAATTCATAATTTTAAGATATTTCTTCAAATAAGTGTGAAGTTTCTATCAAGAATAACATAATGCTACCAAAAACTGGTGCTTTACTAGCTAGATGATATCAACAAATGTGCAGGGTGGAAGGCTGTGGTATGTAACTACATTGCATGGTTGAAATACAAACCTTACCTTCATAAATATATAAAACAGCATGTATAGAGCCAAATTTGCAATGAACACTGCCAGCAAAAGACTGGCAAAATCTGATGGTTCTGAAAGCCCTCCATACAAAGCTCTTTATGAAATGATATATACAAATTAATCCCGCTATTCTAATGTACCTTAACTTTTAGATGTGATTGCATCATTCTTATGATGTACTGTTTGTTATGTATTTCAAAAAATTAAAAAAAAAAAGATTTTCCTTATATAATCTTGTGATGCTGTGACTACAACATTGTTTTAACTTGCGGAGTAATATGTATCCAACAACATAACAATTCAATTAACAAAAATAACCATAACAGGTTATTGTTTGTTTGTTTGTTTTGGGTTTTACGTCACATCAACACAGTATAGGTCATATCGCGTCGTTCCAGCTTTACTGGTGGAGGAAGACCTCAGGTGCCCTTCCGTGCATTATTTCAGGCGTGAACGGGCACCTGAGTAGAACCACCGACGTTCCGTAAGCTAGCTGGATAGCTTCCTCACATGAAAGAATCCAAAGTCCCTGTCGGGATTCAAACCCACAGCGGTGAGGGGCAAGTGGTTTGAAGTCAACGACCTTAACCACTCGGCCACGGACGCCCCATAACAGGTTATAAAAGGGAAGCAAATTTGTATGAATTAAAAACAAGAAAATAATAACTCTTTTTATTTAAAAAAAATATTATAAAAAAAAAAACATATAACTGACACAGATGGATGTTTCCTTGGCCTGAGCTGATTAAACACTGCTTAAACTTATCCAAGATGTCAGAAATCTAATTAAGGCTCTTTCAGGTAAAGCTTACTAATGGTTCATACAGAAATTAAAGGACACTATTCAAAGACTTTAAGGACTTTTCAAGGACATTTTGTCAATTTTTTGGGTCCAAAATGTTCATGAATTATACTCACTTTAAGTATCAGGTTTATCAAAATAAGGCATAATTATGCGCACATAGTATTACATTTGTATACTTTAACCTTTAAAGGTCTTAAGGTGACAACGGAGTCAATTATTACTGAAAATACCTAAAATGAGATTCTTTGCTTAGTAGATTTATCAACCTTTTCTGAACACATTCGTGATTTAATTTTGGAAGCAGTTAGTCCAAAAAATGTGTTTTTAAACGTTTTAAAACGGTACCTGTACCATTTTTATCTGCTATTCGCGTAACCTGTCAATTATCGATAACGCTCCGCCCCCTGTTGAGGCATCAATGAGGGAAATCGGTAGTTCCATATATCCGTGAATTACCCGTCCATACTGGTCCATACTACTCGTGATTCATGTATCGTACAAATACCGTACATCTTTTATGAATATCGTCTACCTTTTATTAAGCATTTTTATAATATAAGAAATTGTCGGCCAATGTACGTAACATAATGTATGAAACATAAATAATTAAGCATAGCGGCAAATCGCACGACCACGGGTCGATTTAAAATATAGTTGCTAAAATATCCATAATTTGTGAAAATAATTTGTCTGTCCCGTTAATCTGATAGATATTACATTGAGTTTATGGACTTTTGTACGGATTCATCGGCTTGCTTTACATTCAACCTCGTTTTCTAACAATGTCAAGTAAAACAACAACAAAAACAGACAACATTTTTTATGTGAACGCCTATATATGACTTGTGGTAAGGTGTCCCTGACAAATTTCTAAACCATTTTAGATTGTTTAAGGATGATCATTTCTCTATGAATCAATAAAAAAAGATATTAATATATACTATCAGTGAATGCTCTGAATAAATTGTTCGCCAGTAAATCGAACACAGTACTAATAAACCTGGGACAAAGTATGGAATTTATTGTATATCCCAGTAGAAACTGGATATCTATGCCGTGCATAGATGATTTTCATGATAATAGAAGTCATGAAGGTCAGATCATAATGATCGACTGATACCTTTTATTTCTATTATAATATGTCAAGCATTTATTTCAATTTGGAGGAAGAAATATATAATATCTCGTTTTTATTTTTACATTTACCATGGACTTTAAAAGACCATCAGAAGCTCAGTTTTTTGTTATTTTAATTTATATTTTAATGGAATTTCATACACGAATACACAGACAGAGTGACACTGGTATAATATAATAATAATTCTGATGATAATAATAATAATCTTCAAAAGTGAAACAATTAAATACCCCGCTAGCGTTGCGCAAATACGTTCCATTTCCCCCCACCGAGTGCCTCAAATTTTACCGAAAGTCACGTGACATGTGCGACCGACAGTAAATCACGTTAAGATTTGAAGAAATTTCTGTTATAAACTAATATTAATCAGCAACTTTTTAATTGGTCAGATGTCACTGGGTCATAAAATGTTGTTAGAGTATGATAGCGCAACTTGTGACCCTCTCTGGTGCGATATTTGTGTATTATGCAATTATTTAGCGTGAAACGTAGGGGTCCGAGAGAGAACAGCCGATTTATGACACTTCGTTTGATGCGGGTCGGACTAACTTTGAATCGGCATAACTTTTTTAATAATCAAGCAATTAACATGCGGTTTAAAGCACATGAAAGGGAATTTATTTACGGAGGGAACCTTGTCAGGGATTTTTGTTTGCTCAATAGGCGACTTAATTATCTTTAATTACGTAATATGTATGGTGAAAAAAAGTCGCATAAAATGTTTGACGTTACGTAATATTTTTTTGAGAAAAGATAGAAAAATTTGAGACACGGTTCCCCAGATATTATAAGTATGTTTATTTTCCAAAAGTTTGCTGACAAAAAAATAAAAAATGACTTTGATATGACGATTTAAAATTTTAGGATTTTTATTAAAAATAAATCATTTACAAAGGCATTTTTTTCAAATATGTTATTTTTTATGTTGATCAACGACATTTAATGCACAAAGATTAAATAAATAACAATTATTACTAAAATAAGTTGGTTTAAATGACATTTATGTGAGTACCACGGAAAGTGTCTGTTGTCACCTTAAGTACTTTCATTTGATTAACACGATATATGCATTGCAATGGACTGCATACTCCACCATATTTTTAAAATGCCTCTAGACTACTGTTCATTGTTAGCAAACATTTTGTAGTTTAAATTCAAGCAAAAGAAGGTAATGTTTTTTCTTTAAAACTTCTGTCTTTAACTGTTGCTGCAATAGATTCTGTTAAATAAAAAAATTTTAACAGAAATTATTATGACTTTTAAGATATAATAACTGTATAACAAGTTCTAAAATTATCAAATACTTACATGGACCAATTTACAATATTTCCAATGATAAGAAAAATCATGCGGCTCTGAAAAGAAGGAAAGTCACATAAAGATTGTTATCATGATTATGTTTCCTCATATGACACCAAAACTGGTATGACACCAATACTGATATGGCACCAATACTGGTATGACACCAATACTGAAATGGCACCAATACTGGTATGACACCAATACTGATATGGCACCAATACTGGTATGACACCAATACTGATATGACACCAATACTGGTATGACACCAATACTGATATGACACCAATACTGATATGGCACTAATATTGATATGACACCAATACTGATATGACACCAATACTGGTATGACACCAATACAATACTGATATGACACCAATACTGGTATGACACCAATACTGGTATGACACCAATACTGGTATGACACCAATACTGATATGGCACCAATATTGATATGACACCAATACTGGTATGACACCAATACTGGTTGTTATGATCTTATAACAAGCTTAAAATTTTCAATATATGAAACAGATGTTAAATTATAAGCAAATGGACATATTTAGTACCATTCTATCTACACGAATGAATTGGTATAGTGTTCCATCTTTCAGCGAAATATTTCTAGTGATTCCAAATATCTTGTCCGCCATTTATATTAATCTCTAATCAGAGTTGTTGTTTGTACATTATTTTAACATTATGATTTATAAAAAATTATTTAAAACAAGAGCCATGTCAACATGGCCATCCCCGCCGAATGTGTTTGCTCATTGGAAGAATGTATATGTAGTAGAGCAGAATAATTCCATTTTAAGAGGTCTTTTGGTAATGAAAACTGATGGCTATAGTGATTACAGATTTGAAACCTATGTGAATACTGATGGCTGAAAATAACAAAGGGCAATAACTGAAAAATAATGCAGGGTAGGTTATCATTCTTGTGTGCTGCATCCCTCCTCAGTAAAATCTATCCACTTATGAAGTTTCAAGTTGATACCTCAAATAATTTTTGAGAAAAAAATTGAATTGAAAAATTAAGTATGAAAAATAACAAAGGGCAATAACTCAAAAATTATAAAAGGTAGAGTTATCATTCTTGTGCACTGCACACCTCCTGAGTGAGATATATGCACCTATGAAGTTTCATAATGATATCTCAAAGGCCTTTTGAGTTATGCTCTGGACAAAAATTAATTTTGAAAAATAAAAAAAGGGCAATAACTAAACAATAATGCAGGGTAGAGTTATCGTTCTTGTGCACTGCACTCTTCCTCAATGAGATTTATCCACCTATGAAGTTTCAAGTTGATACCTCAAATACTTTTTGAGATAAGCTCCGGACAAAATAGTATGAAAAAGAACAAAGGGCAATAACTCAAAAATTGTACAGGGAAGAGTTATCATTCTTGTGCACAGCATTCCTCCTCAATAAAATCTATCCACTTATGACATTTCATGTTGACATCTCAAACACTTTTGAGTTATGCTCCACTCGGGTGAAAAATTAGGTATGAAAAATAACAAAGGGCAATAACTCAAAAATTATGAAAGGTAGTTATCATTCTTGTGCACTGCACACCTCCTGAGTAAGATCTATGCACCTATGAAGTTTCATTTTGATATCTCAAAGGCTTTTTGAGTTATGCTCTGGACAAAAATTAATTTTGAAAAATAACAAAGGGCAATAACTCAAAAATAATGCAGGGAAGAGTTATCATTCTTGTGTAATGCACTCCTTCTCAATGAGATCCATCCACCTATGAAGTTTCAAGTTGATACCTCAAATACTTTTTGAGATAAGCTCTGGACAAAATAGCATGAAAAAGAACAAAGGGCAATAACTCAAAAATTGTATAGGGAAGAGTTATCATTCTTGCCGCAACATTCCTCATCAATAAGATCTATCCAACTATGACATCTCATGTTGATATCTCAAAAACTTTTTGAGTTTTGCTCCACTCAGGTGAAAAATTAAGTATGAAAAATAACAAAGGGCAATAACTCAAAAATTATGAAAGGTAGAGTTATCATTCTTGTGCACTGCACACCTCCTGAGTGAGATATATGCACCCATGAAGTTTCATGTTGATATATCATAGGCTTTTGGAGTTATGCTCTGGACAAAAATCAATTTTGAAAAAAAACAAAGGGCAATAACTCAAAAATTATGAAAGGTAGAGTTATCATTCTTGTGCACTGCACTCCTCCTCAATGAGGTCTATCCACCTATGAAGTTTCAAGTTGATAACTCAAATACTTTTAGAGATATGCTCCGGACAAAAATGTCGGACGGAAGGAAGGACAGACGGACGGAAGGAGACTATTTCTATATCCCCCGCCGCCTTTTCGGCGGGGGATAAAAAATAATGCCATTTGATTTCAGCCTGTAGCCCTGCACAGACTTTCCGCATAATAAATGTGGGCAAAAAAGATACAAACTGACCAATAAGACATAATTTCTACTGCCCAAAAAGGGGTATGTAAATCTTTGTATAATTTCCACTGAAGAAGAAATCTTTTGTACTTACTGGATACACAGGCTTGCTACATTTTATCCAATCAGAAATGATCAGTAACCAAACTCTTTTACATATGAAACGATCTGAAATTTAGACCAATCAAAATCAATTACATATAGTGCAATTTGAAGAATCAACCATTCAGAGCCATTTTTACAAGTCATGTAATTTAAAAATGTAAACCAATCAAAATCAATTACATATAGTGCAACTTGAAGAATAAAACATTCAAAGCCATTTTTACAAGTCATGTAATTAATTAAATGTAATCTAATCAAAATCATTTCCTTGAGTTTATTGTAATTATTAGAAATACTTATTACACCAATCAAAATTTGTATCAAGAGAACTTTAAAATGTTGCTGTATGCTTTTCATGGGTGAGCATAATTTTGAAGACATGTAACCAAATCATTTATACCCTCTTGCTAGGACAGAATACAATTTTAAAAGATCTGACCTAAAATGGCTGCTTCTCAAAAAAGGAAAGAGTTAAGCATGTTTTATCAATTGTTTAACTGTTTTTAAGTATGAAGACATTTTTTTTATACATGTGATGGCCATGGTTTTACCACAGGACTTTGATATTTTATCAATAAATGAGCCGCCTCATGACAAAACCAACATAATGGGTTTGCAACCAGCATGGATCCAGACCAGCCTGCGCATCCGCGCAGTCTGATCAGGATCCATGCTGTTCGCTATCAGTTTCTTTACTTGTTATAGAGTATGTAAGCGAACAGCATGGATCCTGACTGGTTTGGATCCTTGCTGGTCGCAAACCCATTATGTTGGTTTTGTTGTAACGTGGCTCAAATCAGAAAATATATGTATATACTAAAGGTAAAGCCCCTATCTCTAAGGATTTTTTTATAGAGATTTGGGCTATATCTTTAATATACCTAAATTTTGTGATTTATTTATTAAATATCAAGTTCCTGTGGTTAAAGTATTATTATGCAGACAGACAGATAAACAGACAGGATTAAAGCAAGCTGCTGCCAGATCTAATGAACTGGGTATGTTAAAACTTACCAAGTTTCCATCTGCCCATAAAGTAGAGATGTATGCTAAGCAAAAGAGAAGCCAAAAGGTAAACTATAGCAAATAGTATCCAGAACAAGTTTGTACCATATACCTGCAGTAGAAAAAAAAACATAGAAAAACTTTAGTAAAAGTATCAAAACATGAAATATTAAAATTAAAGGGACTCCACTGAGGTTGTTTTTTTAAAATGATGGGACTTGAAAGAGAATTTTTCGAAATGTATGTTCCACTTGAGTAGGTCTAGACCAATAGCTTGTGTGCAAAATTTCAGATTATTCACATTTTTCACTGAATCCGGTTAAGAATAACACAAATATATGATTTTCAACTTATTTCAGAGTAGATTTTTAAATTATTGTTTCCATATCTTTCTTTTTTAAGTTCCTCAAGAGGATCTTTATCAGAAATTCAAGTTATATATTTTCAGGCTTTTGTACCGCAGTAGAGTTCTTTAACAGTATCTTAACTGAACTCAATATTGTCTCAATAATTTAAATACTTTTAATGGAAATCTGAATATTGGGATAGACAACAACTTCTCAACTTTGACCATATGACTGTCAATCATAGCAAAATTACCATTTACAACACATTTGTTTCCACTAATCAATCAAGAATACATAAACAACAAAATATGCATAAAAAAATGAAATTTTATCAGTAGTGAAGATATAAATAGTTATTATGCAGCATATATAGCTTATACATGTACTTGAAAATTATCGCTGTCATCCTCAAGCATTAAAATAAAACAGCATTAGACATGGTGCAGGATTCTTATCTTAAATAAATACAATTCACATTTATACAAGCAATATTATGATATCTTGGGCTAGCATAGACATAACGCTGCGATAGCATAGACATAACACTGCGCTAGCATAGAAATAATACTGCGCTAGCATAGACATAATGCTGCGCTAGCATAGACATAATGCTGTGCTAGCATAGAAATAACGCTGCTCTAGTATAGACATAACGCTGCGCTAGCATAGACATAATGCTGTGCTAGCATAGACATAACGCTGTGCTAGCATAGACATAAAGCTGTGCTAGCATTGACATAATGCACTGATTGAAATAGAACAAGCAAATTCGTTGAATTTATATCCCCGCCGAGTACTGGTAATTACTAACACAACAACTGAAGAAATAAGGCTTTATTTATATATTTATCATGGCATAAACAGTAATATTCTTTGAACTTGATAAATATTCAGGGCAATAACAGAGCTATAACTCTGTGTTAAATGATATATCTGGAAATGCCAATGAGATGTATGCATACTGCATAACTAATCAAGGGCCATAAATCTGAGTCATAAGTGTCTGACCGGAACAAGGCGACTATATGCACATCTCCTCTTCGTATCCCATAAAGTTTCTTGAATTCAACCAGTAGTTACAGAGAAGTAGCACGTAAACCATTATTGCTTTGGTTGTATACTGCATAAGTTATCAAGGGCCATAACTCTGTAATGAAGGGTCTGACCCAAACAAGGCGAGGATATGCCCATCTCCTCTAGGTATTGAAGGTTCCAATAAAGTTTCATTGAATTCCAGCCAGAAGTTTCAGAGAAGTAGCGCAGAAATGAATATTTTTCTATATGCATACTGCATAACTAATCAAGGGCCATAACTCTGAGTTAAAATGTCTGACCCCAACAAATCAATGATATGCGCATCTTCTCTTGGTATTGAAGGTTCCAATAAAGTTTTGTTCAATTCCAGCCAGTAGTTGCTGAGAAGTAGCGTGGAAACGATTTTTGCTCTATATGCATACTGCATAACTAATCAAGAGCCATAACTCTGAGTTAAAATGTCTGACCCGAACAAGGTGACGAAATGCGCATCTCCTCTTGGTATTTAAAGGTTCCAATAAAGTTTTGTTCAATTCCAGCCAGTAGTTGCAGAGAAGTAGCGCGGAAATGATTTTTGCTCTATATGCATACTGCATAACTAATCAAGGGCCTTAACTCTAAGTTAAAGTGTCTGACCCGAACAAGGCGACGATATGCGCATCTCCTCTTGGTTTTGAAGGTTCCCATAAAGTTTCGTTGAATTCCAGCCAGTAGTTGCAGAAAAGTAGCGCAGAAACAATTTTTACTCTATATGCATACTGCATAACTAATCAAGGGCCAAAACTCTCAGTTAAAGTCTCGGACCGGAACAAGCCAACGATATGCCCATCCCCTCTTGATATTGAAGGTTCCCATAAAGTTTTGTTAATTCCAGCCAGTAGTTGCAGAGAAGTAGCGCGGAAATGATTTTTACTCCATATGCATACTACATAACTAATCAAGGGCCATAACTCTGAGTTAAAGGGTCTGACTGGAACAAGCTGACGATATGCGCATCTCCTCTTGATATTGATGATTCCCATAAAGTTTCGTTGAATTCCAGCCAGTAGTTGCAGAGAACTAGTCCGGAAACGAAATTCAGACGGACGGATGGATGGACGGACGGACAACGCCAAAACTATATCCCTCTCCAGATTCCATCGGCGGGGGATAAAAAGAAATTTCTCAGCATTTACATTTACATACATTGTACTATTTGCTTGTTCTTTATATTTAAATTGCTAATTTCATCCTTTAATCAAAATTATCAACTTGAACACTTTAAACCGTCCAATTTTTTAAACAGAAAACACTCGTATACAAGTAATTTCTGGTAATTAAAGACAATTACATAATATGCAAAGTATAATTATTACGATTGTCTATATACTCGCATGGCTGTTCGAAATTTTTAATAACTGGGGACAGTTACCAAGTGGATTAGGGCCAATTAATCTGGCTTAGCATGATAGGTGTGTATTTCTTTATGTTTGACCGAAATTTTACTTTGAAATATAGGAAGTATTCGGATAATGCATTTCAAATAATACATTCTTATTTATATCAATTTATATAGAGATCAAAACAGGACTGCCAATGTACTTCGGATAATGTCAGGTAATCGAAATAAGGGTTGTTGAATAACCAGGGTCGGACTGCAGTAGGAAGGTAAAACAAATTTAGTTTGAGGAAAATTAAAAAGAAAGTACAGTACCACACCAATAACGGCGATGATGATGACTATGGCCATGACGGCATAGGCGGAATGTGATTTAGCGCTAATATCTGGATGACGATTCTGGTAGATCTTCAAAATACACAAACATGCTATAATGTACATGAATGATGTATCTGTAAATATAAAATCATGAAAATATCGTAAATGTACATGTATACAATTCATGATTAAAAAAATAAATTATTACATTTTTATTAAAACATTCTTATCTTTTTCAAGTACACAACATTTTGAGAAAATAAAACACCACTATTTTTTTTTTAATTTGTGTTCCACAAATCACATTTATATTTCTAATCACATGTACAGTGTAAACAAAGGAAAACATAATGTCATTTTCATCTACAAGGATGACTTCAATTTATTTTATAACATATAAGATAATCCATGAATGTTTTATGCTGTCAATGTACCCTCATATATCTGAATGAGTATTTCGATGAATGGATTGAGTCACTTCATACAATAAATAGTAGTTCTGGGCAAAGGGGAAATAAATTGAGGACTTACAGAACCTTTAAGTTTAGTTATGAAACAATAGCATATGTAACTGCTATCCTGCCGAATTAAGCATAGAGCAGCATTTGCAAAGTTTCGATGTGGGGTAGCCCCTATTAGACTCGAAACTAGCAGATATGAAAGGTTAGCTTTAAAAACCAAAGAATTTGTCCAATCTGTAAAACTGGCATTGAAGATGAGAAACATGTTATTTTGTATTGTGCAAGGGATGAGGATATTAGGAAAGATTTATTTGCCAAAGCAGGAAATGTAAATTATCAATTTTTAAGGCTGTCTGATAACAATAAACTGCCATTCATTTTTTCCAATACTGAAATTGTAAAGTGTGCTGCAAAATCCTGTTTCAAAATTCTTAAAAGTAGAACTACATGTAACTGGTTGTACTCCTGAGAACTGTCTCTTATAAAGTTACTTTTAAATTATTAAACATTTTATCCAACAAACTGAGGGTCTTGCATTATGTTATTGAGAAATTGTACTAATCAGTGTATTTATAAGCCTGATTTTAAGGTTGGTAATATTTTAATACTTTTAATCATTAGACAAGGATATTTGTACAAAACTCTCGAGGTCTCTTGAAAGGGTAAACACTCATAGTTAATGATTAGTAACTGACTCCTCAATCTTCTTTTATTTTATTTTTAGACAAAGACGTTACATGTACAGTCACTTAAATTTGAATAATGTTTTATTTATATAGGTCTTATCTATCGAATGATGCGAAATAATTTTATCCAGATTATGATTTTATAGGTTAAGAATCTATTGCTATTCAGTCTAAATTTTATGGTTTTAAGGAAGAGAACAGTACTAGGGTTCACTGTAAAGCAATTATACCAGAAATTTTTTAAGTATTCTAGAACAAGATTAGCAATAGTTTCTGATTGTAGCAATTTTAATTTGTAATATGCATATGAATATTGAATAAGAAGAGAGGTAACTCTGTAAGTTATATTGGAAATTCTTGCAGAGTTGCCTCCCTTCCATTAGATTATTTTTATAGTCTCTTGTAATTCTGATTAGAATAGCCAACATAAATAACTTTTATTTTGTAAAATTATGTAATTGAATTGTTTTATGTTGTTATGTATGGATGAGACTCAAATAAAGAATATATATATAATATGGACATTCCTTTTAGTAACTAAACAGGTTGTTGTAACTTTGATTAAGTATCGTAATTCAATGGATTTTTTATCACTACAATAACTTTTAATCACAATTTTCAATGATGACAGTATTAAATTTAACCCCCGATTTGCATATACTTATATATTCAATTTGTACATGTATACCACTATTCACAAATAATTATGACACAATGATTTTCCTATGCAGCCGAAATCAAAATGCCATTATTCTTTATACCACTGACACTAAAAGATAACAGCCAGTGCCATAAATATTAAGCTAGGCCATTCCTAAAGGAACATTATGCTTAAGAAATGAATGATTTTTTTTCTTTCTGTAGAAAGGGCAAACATTGCCTGATAATGTTGTAATAATGGATTAAAAACATCACTTGAAATAGCTGGGAGTGTGAAGTAAAATTTGATTGAAAATTTGATTTAAGTGGCAAAATGTGAACAAAGTGCTATCTTTACTTCCAGACAAAATACTGAATCATTATAGCGGTTACAAAAAAAAATACGAAAGATGTCTCAGCCATGCTAATGCCTAACGAGAAATGTTTTGGAAACTGTAACCAGACACCTAAATTGATAACCTTTTGAAAACTAAAAAAATAGCATTTTAAGGCTTAATGGGCCTTTAAGTCTGCACATCTATGCAACTAGACAAGGCTTTATCATGTTTGCCCCTCAATTTGTGAAAAAATCAATATCAACATTAGCTTTAACCCATTACTTCATATACACGCCTTTTAAACGCCTTTTTTCACCCCCCCCCCTTTTTGTTGTCTCAAATGATGAAAAAATGCCTTATTTAGGCCCCAAACACTTGTTTTTGTTTGAGAAATGTTGTTAAAAAAAGTGACCTCGTTTTCGGCGCGGCCCCCCAACCAATAGATACATCAGGGGGTTGCCAGAAGGGGGATGTGCCCCCTTCTGTTTGGGGGGTTTGAAGGGGCGCGGAGTCCCCCTCATCGCCAAGAAAATTTTGGACTTGTGAGAGGCTGTAAATGACCCCAGATTGATCATAAGGTAACGTGTAACCAACGCTGAAAAGCATTTGACTCTGTCTCAATCCATTGAGAAGTTGCAGCACTTTGAAATCCATTTTGATGGAAAAAATCAACGCAAAATAGTGATTTTTGGCAATTTTGAGATGTCCCCTCGTTGCCATGGTAACAGAAAATTTAAGCCTGAGCATGTTGTTGCAAGGGCAATGGTCCAGTCAACATTTGTGCCAAGTTTGATTAGTGTTGAAGCAGTTTTTATAGTATTATAGCAATTTGAACTTGTAACGGGAGACTTTTCAATGAAAACAGCCATTTTTCACAAAATGCTCATGAAGGACTGGGTTAAACTTGCAATGGACTGTTTCAGATTCAACTGTTCAAACATTAATACTGGGTTAGTCCATTATATAAATTTAAGGTTAAATGCAGTGTTTCTGCCAGAGCGCGTTTTTGCGTTTTTGGCGCATTATTTTCGGCCATGACGCAATGAAATTTAGTTAGTGCGTATTTTGTGACGCAAGAATTTCACCGTCGCTGATTTCAACACGAGTCAGATATACAGACTATAAACCGTCAATTCAGTATAAAAATGTACGGAATGTTTACCGTGGGCTCCACTATAATTTTAATGAGAAATGAAATTTACCGGGTCCGTGGTCCGGCATTTAGCCAATTTCATCTAGTTAATAAACGCTTGCATTTATACGATACTGCATATATTGAAAGCGCCCAGACAAAATTATTTATTTTGTTGTCGTCATATTCTGCGAACGAATTAACTGTCTGTGGAAAATGCCGTCTGCTCCAAAATAGCGGAGATTGACCAATTTCTTTACGAAAAATACACAAAATATTGTTGTCCATGACCAAAAAGAAGTATCATATAAAAAAATGTTGACGATGACACTAATTCCCCGAAAGAAAAACAATCCATTATAAATGGTGTAATTTTGTTGATGAATAAATTGACATAAAAAATTAAAATAACTATTTAAAAATATAACACAAAAACAAGTATTTAACAATATTTTTATTCACATATAGTTGAACTACATGATGGTACATAAATGTTCTCTGGCAAGAAGTAAAGTGCCTAAGAAAATGAAACTTATAAAGTGTTACCTGTTGTTTTTTACATTTTTGTTAAATTTATTGGCATGACCCTTATGAATTTGAAATGACCCCTAAAATATCATACATGGGGTCATAAAAGACCCTCAGAAAATCAGAGCTGGCAGAAACACTGTAAATGGATACTTACCAAACTGAAAATTGGAGAAAGTTGGGCACACATGGTAACATGCACTCATGATTCCCTCCATACACAATGCAAACCCCATCCCATAAAACAAACCAAAATGCTGTGGTATTCCAAATTTCTGAGGAAAACAAAAATTTACCAACATAATATTTCAACAACAAAGCAGTAATATATATATATAAACTGATAATGTTTTTTTAACAATTTGGATTATACACAATAATTCTTCGAGGTATATAGAATCTGAAAAGTCATCCCAAACATCTTGGTCAAAAGGTTTATTTATTATAGAACTAGCAAATAAATGTACTTTTCATCACAATATCATTGGCCATGTGCAAAACTTTTCATCATAATGTCATTGGTCATGTAAAAAATCTACTTTTCATCATAATGACATTGATCATTTTAAAAAATCTACTTTTCATCACAATGACATTGGCCAAGTCAAACAAGAGCTGTCGGTAGGACAGAAATGCTCCTCTATTCTAAGTGCTTGATAATGAAAGAGCCTTGGTAATGTAAAATTTTCAAAGTTAACAAAAGGGCAAATTTTTTCTTTGAATCTATGTTACAGTTATAGGCCTTGGAGAGAGTCCTATTATGCTCTCAAAGAAAAAATATATAATTTCAACTTGTTTCAAAGCCAGATGTCAATAGAATATGAAAATATCTGAGGTGTATGCAAACTTAATTGTAAATTCTGAGTTGAAAAAAGGGCATTATTCTGCCAAATGCTTCATAGAGTTACCCCCTCCTGTCTACAGGTTGGGGACATGATGGTAACCAAGTGTGCAAAGTTTCAAAGTCATATGTGAATGGACTATAAAAATATTTGAGGTATTACAAAAACTTTAACGAAAATTCTATGTCGAAAAAGGGGCAATATTCTGTCAAAATGCTTGATACAGTTACCTCCTCCTGTCTACAGGTTGGGGTAATGAGTGTGAATAAGTGTGCAAAGTTTCAAAGCCATAATTATGTCAATGGACTTTAAAAATATTTGATGTACTACAAAAACTTAAACGAAAATTCTAAGTTGAAAAAGGGGCATAATTATGTCCAAATGCTTAATACAGTTACCTCCACCTGCCACCAGGTTGGGGTCATTATAGTGAACAAGTCTGTCATATGTCAATGGACTTTGAATATATTTGAGGTATTACAAAATCTTTAACGTAAATTCTAAGTTGAACTAGAACTCCGCGAGTCGGATGTGTCGCCTTGTGAACAATATAGTTTAGGAGAAATGGCCACAACAAAAATGAAATTTGAAAATCAACAAAGGGCAATATCTCAAAAAATAAGAAATGCAGAGCAGCAGTTTCTGTGCACTGCACTTCTTATCAATAAGATCTATCATCCTATTAAGTTTCAAGTCTAAAGCTTTTATAATTTATGAGAAATGGCCTTGACAAAAATAAAGTATGAAAATTAACAAAGGGCAATAACTCAAAAAATAAGAAATGCAGTGTACCAGTTCTTAGGCACTGCACTTCTTCTTAATGAGATCTATCATCCTATGAAGTTTCATGTCCATAGCTTTTAAACTTTAGGAGAAATGGCCCGGACAAAAATAAAGTATGAAAATTAACAAAGGGCAATAACTCAAAAAATAAGAAATGCAGAGTACCAGTTCTTGTGCACTGCACTTCTTCTTAATGAGATCTATCATCCTATGAAGTTTCAAATGCATAGCTTTTATACTTCAGGAGAAATGGCACGGACAAAAATAAAGTATGAAAATTAACAAAGGGCAATAACTCAAAAAATAAGAAATGCAGAGTACCAGTTCTTGTGCACTGCACTTCTTATTAATGAGATCTATCATCCTATGAAGTTTTAAATCCATAGATTTTATACTTTAGGAGAAATGGCACGGACAAAAATAAAGTATGAAAATAAACAAAGGGCAATAACTCAAAAAATAAGAAGTACAGAGTACCATTCTTGTGCACTGCACTTCGGGTCATTATAAAAAGCATGCATACCAAGTTTGAAATCAATCCAACTTATAATGACTGACTTATGCTCCGGACAAGCTTTAGGGGACGCCGACAACGACGCCGCCGACAAAAGTAACCCCTATATGTCGCCTTTTTCAAGGCGACACAAAAAGGGGCAATATTCTGTCAAAATGCTTGATACAGTTACCTTCTCCTGTCTACAGGTTTGAATCATGATTGTGAACAAGTTTGCAAAGTTTCAAATCTATATGTCAATGGACTATGAAAATATTGGAGGTATCACAAAAACTTTAACATAAGCCACTGGGTTGACTTCAATAGCTATACTTTTTCTTATCAAATACTAGAAGTCGAGCTAAAAACTACTTTTCATCACAATGTCATTGGCCATGTCTAAAATCTACTTTTCATCACAATGTGATTGCTTATGTCCAAAATCTACTTATCAATAAATGAAAGCATTGACAAAATTTGCAGATTTAAAAAGACTTATAAAAAAATTGATTTCAAAATAATATACAAATCATGGTACCTTATGTCTACCTTCACTTTTATCTTTTGCTGTCTTGTACAGAAACTCTCTGAAAGAGGAGAGAAAAAATGCAAAACTAAATATTTTGAAAAAATTAAAGAAGATGAAATAAAGATATCAATAGAAAACCTTTACAATATCAATTGCCTAAATTAACAAAACTTACCAGAATTTATTTTCAAGCAACAGCTGTCATTGTTAGACAGGCTATTGATGTTTACTCTTTTCCTCGACAAGCGCAGCTACAATATCTTAATATTTTACAGATTTGGACTTTTCTACCATTTTTAACAAACAATTTCTAACCATTTTCTTATACTTTTCAGTTTTATTTTTCACTATTTAACATATAGGTAACTGAAGCTCAAAATCACTATAAATTTGAACAAATTTGCAAATGTCTCATTATTTCTTTAAAATTAAGAATACATGGTATTAAAGTGAATTGGTCTACAATGGGCACATTTTCCAAAAGTACTTCAAATATAGATACAAACAACAGAAATGTATCATTTAGATATTCTTACGAACTATTGCTTGAAGAAACTAGAAATGTGTCCATAGGACATGGGTGCCCCCACACACCACTGTTCTGTCAATCTTATGACTCTAGGTCAAATATTTTTTAAACTACATGTTCCACAGGTTGAAAACTAAAAATCTTTTACTAAGTAAAGGGCAAGAACTTTACAAATACTGAATAAATCCACAAGCAAACCCCAAGGTGCATAAGTACACACGCTAACCAACATCCTTGTAAACTTTCAGGCCAACAAGTCAAATACTTTTTGAGCTATGCATGAACAAGTTGAAAATTGCAAATTTATACTACTGTAGGTCAAGGGCAATAACTCTAGCAAAACTGAAAAAAATCCACTTGCAAAGTCCCAGGTGCATAGCTTCACAGTGATGTTGATCATTATTCCTGTAATTTAGTGATGTTGATAATTATTCCTGTAAAGTTGGTTGATTCTAGCTCAAGCACTCGAGGAACAAATAACACAACATAATGAAACGGTTTTTACTAAGTCAAGGGCAATAACTCTACATACTGGATAAATTCACAAGCGAAACCCAAGGTGCACAACTACATATGCTGATCAACATTCCCTTAAGGTTTCATGACTCTATGTCAAATCCTTTTTGAGTTACATGCTAAACAAGTTGAAAATTGCAAAAATGTTCTAAGACAAGGGCAATAACTCTAAAAATACTAAATAAATCCAGACAAAAATACACAGGTGCACAACTACACAAGCTGATCAACATTCCTGTAAAGTTTCATGACTCTATGTCAAATTCTTTTTGAGTTACATGCGACACAAGTTGAAAATTGCAAAATGTCAAGGGCAATAACTCTAAAAATACTATATAAATCCACACTAAAGTACACAGGTGCACAACTACACATGCTGATCAACATTCCTGTAAAGTTTCATGACTCTAGGTCAAATACTTTTTGAGTTACAGGCAACACAAGTTGAAAATTGTAAATTTTTACTAAGTCAAGGGCAATAACTTTAAAAATATTAAATATATCCACACAAAAATACCCACGTGCACAACTACACATGCTGATCAACATTCCTGTAAAGTTTCATGACTCTAGGTCAAATACTTTTTGAGTTACATGCGACACAAGTTGAAAAGTGCAAATTTTTACTAAGTCAAGGGCAATTACTCTAAAAATATTGAATAAATCCACACGAAAATACCCAGGTGCAATTCCAAATTCATAGCAGGGTAAGTCCATTATAGAAATTTAGGGGTGTAAAGAATTTTTTTTTTAACTTACCTGCGGGCAACCAGTATCAGGAACAGTATACCCAGCATAACATAACCTATGTTACTGTAGATATTATTAAATGAGCTCACTCTACCAAGCGGATGAGCACACTCAAAATTATAGTAACATATGTCCTGGTCGCCAGTGAAGTTTAGTACCTTCAAACACAAAAATAGTGACAAAATTCATGTACATGCAATAACTTGAACAGTACAAATGAGCTGCATCACGACAAAACCAACATAGTGCGTTTGCGACCAGCATGGATCCAGACCAGCCTACGCATCCGCGCAGTCCGATCCGATCAGGATCCATGCTGTTCGCTTACCAACTCTATTACAAGTGGAGAAACTGACAGCGAACAGCATGGATCCTGATCAGACTGCATGGATGCGCAGGCTGGTCTGGATCGATACTAATCTCAAACCCACTATGTTGGTTTTGTCAAGGCACAGCTCAAATGTTTTCATTTTACAATCATATACAATTTCATTGTATTTTGTTTTATGACTCTCCGTATTTATTCAGACACGGTCACACCAAAAAACATATGGCTAGAACTTACAACCATCTACATGACCAAAACAGAACAAAATAAATTGGTTTTGATAACCTAATCAACCTTGTTTCTTTTTATAAAACAAGTTTTTAAATCAAAAATCGAAAAAAAAAAGATACTTAGTAAGATAAATTTAATCTTGTACATACAGTATATGTCTACTATTAAACTTTATAAATAAAGGTAGTTTATAGTACATCTGACATATTATTAAATAAACAAAATATTGTCTTACTGTTTGGTACGTCATCACAAGTTGTATTACTGGTAACCCATAAAATATAGCTATCGTGAACAAATTTCTGTAAGTGAGAAAGCAAAATTTAGAATTCTGTAAATGATATAGTTCAAGCAAAATGTAAAAAGACGGTCACAAAAATAAGATGCTTAATCAAATTTTAAGTAAATAAGACTAGCATATTTCGAGTCAAAGATCTTTGTTAATGCTCCACTCCTCTCCAATGTTAATAGCTTAGCCAAGTCATGTGTTGTGTTGAAAGCTTCAAAAGGCATTGTGCTCACCCAAGCATAAATGGTGAGTCAACAAAATAACTTTACATTTTGTCTTATTTGATATCAATTTTATATTCTAGCTACTTCCCCATAAATATTCATTAACCCACATTACTTACCGAAAATTCAAAATTGATTGGCAATGTTAGAGTTATAAAGGTGTAGAGCAGTCTTTTTTATTATATTTTGGATAGTTTTTACATTTTAGGCTTGAAATTTGTCATTAACAATCATTTACAATATATATAGCAGAAATGAGCATGTCACTTTTAGGCTTGTATGTGAATTAAAGAAGTCTTACTTGCAATATAGTTTATAGGATTTATCTGCCCTTTTCTCACTTTTTCTTGCTAAGTCACAAACAAATAGGGCTGTCTGTAATAGAAAAATAAGAGATGTCAGTAAGACAGTGTGCTGAACTATTCGACAAGGGGCATTATTCTGTAAAAAGGTAACTCAGAGTTATGGGACCTGTGACCATCATAGTAGATAATCACATAGAACATGTGTATGAAGTTTAAACCATTTCCATTCTGAAGTTTTGGAGATAACAAATTACACACAAAACATCAATCAAAGTGTGACACTGGTCTAGTACAATAGCTCTCTATATTCTTTAATTGAATAGTTGAGCAAAAAATGCCTAATTTTAGAGTGACATATCAATAAAAAAAATCATAAGTTTTAATGATACCAGTTGGCTTTAATGACTATAGTACATATTTAATATGTTCAGACTTTCAAGGTAGTTCTATTACAGTACTGAATTAGCACTATGTACAGTAATATACATATTCAATTATCCACTGACTAAACAATATATATCACTGCGATAAATTAAGAATATCACACTTGATATTCACCATAAAAAGTTTTGGAATTAAGCATTAAGTAAACAGCATCGGCTATTTACATTTAACTTTGAGTTCTTATTAAACAGATTAGAGCTGCTATTATGCTAATGATAATGAATGACCCAAATGAATTTCAATTACCCTAAAGATTAAAGAATGAAAAGTTGATACCTTTGTTCTGAATATATTTTTATCATGATCAGCATCTTTAACGAAGTCATAATCTTCAGAACTGATTGACTCAAGATCTTCAGCTCTCTTGTGTGATTGGTCAGCTGCTGGAATAGAGGCTGGGTTAGAGGTGGGGTTTGAAATAGCACCATAACTTTGGGCTCCACCTTCATGTCTAACTGTTTCATTAACCAAACGTTGATTATCTCCATCTAAAAGTTCAAATTCTTGTAATAAGTAAACTGCCAATTCAATATATAGCTACTTTATATAAAATTGCAAAAAAAATATTTTTGCGGGAGTCTGTAAGAATTTGTGCAAAACATGTACAATTACAGGTGCTTTAAGTTGGACATTATACAACTAACCACAGTAATTGACTTCATGTTCCTTCTGATCTGTACATTCATTAACTGTTTCCTATTTGTAGAGGCTAAACAACATATTAACATACTAAAAAATAATGTTTTCTTAATAATGGGAGATAACTCCATAAACAAGAGTTGTCAGTAGGACAGTATGCTTGACTATAATAAGTGCTTGATAGTAACAGAGAGAGCCCGGATAATGTAGAATTTTTCCAAGTTCATAAAACAGCTGTAATTCTGTCAAAATATTTGCTTTGGCTAGGAACCTCCTATTATGCTCTTTTAAATAAGTGTGTGAAGTTTCAAACAATTCCTTTTAGTAGTTTGGAGATACCAACTTGCATGCAAAACTTAAACGAGGTGTGACACAGATGCCAATACCTGCTCTCCCTATACTTCAAATAATCAAATAAGTGATATAACCAGTAGTATCATGACCTTTTGTAGTTTTCAGTAAATGAGTAAAATGCAGTGAAATAAATCACAGATAAACAAAGATTTAAAGAACCATCACCTTGGGTTCCGCAAGTGTGATATTGACCACTTGTGTCAGCTATTGGCTCATGTAACTCTTCTAAAAGAAAGAAATGATCAGATAAAAACATCTAAAATACATAAACACCATGGCAACTATAAGAATCACAGTGCACTTCAAACTATAAATATAACATCATTCCTTCATTTATTTACCATTCTAAAAGTAGTCGCTGTGGTGTGGCATTCCAAGCATTAACAGCCAGGCTTTAACAGTCTTAAACCATGTGGTAGTCATTCATTTAATGCCTGGTTGGCAGATATTAATTGCTCACCAATACAAAACTTTTGGTCCGGTTACTTATTTCACACCACTTTACATGATTCCTAATTGTGAAGAAGTTATTTTGTTTGTTTGTTTATTTTGGGTTTTACATCACACCGACACAGTATAGGTCATTTGGCAACGTTCCAGCTTTACTAGTGGAGGAAGATCTCAGGTGTCCTTCCGTGCATTATTTCAGGCACAAACGGGCACCTGAGTAAAACCACCGAAGTTCCGTAAGCTAGCTGGATAGCTTCCTCACATGAAAGAATCCAAAGTTCCTGTCGGGATTTGAACCCACAGCAGTGAGGGGCAAGTGGTTTGAAGTCAATGACCTTAACCACTCGGCCATGGATGCCCCCAAAAAAGTTATAAAAACAGTTTAGGAAAGATTAGTGGTTTTACTCTGGCAGTAACTTGTAATTGATATAATGCATGAAGGAACAACTAAGGTCCTACAGTAAAGCTTAAAAGTTGTCAATTGTGTGACCTTAACAGTGCCAATGTGACTAAAATGTGACTAAAAACACAGAAAATTTATCGCAAACCTTGTTTCATTGAGTTTTCAAATGTAGCTATTTCTATTATGCCCCAATTGTCCTTACTGAAATACAAGAATGATGAATAATTCATCTAAATCTATAGACTATATAAGGTCTTGAAAGAAAGTAAGTTTTTCTTTTTACGTAGCACTGAATTTTATTTTCTAGGACACATATTTTGTAGAAGGATCAGAGATCTGTATGTTTTCATTTCTTGTACTGCTTAGCATTCTTTTGTCAAGATCTCATCTCCAATATTTAGAAAAATTCTTCAACTCAGACAGTATCTGCTAACATTCATTTTTTATTAGCTTGCAATTTAATATCATTTAGAAAAATCTCAACTGTACAACTGACAATATTCTCACTATTTCTATAAAAAAATGTTTATCTATGACAATTAAGATTAAAATATACACTTAACTTTCCCCACACTACACATTACCACAGATCTTATTGGTGGGAAAGCATTTATTTGCAGAAAATTGTTACATTCTCTCACAGAATACAAGAATGTTTGATAAGTTACTGAACTCTATGACTTAAACAACTGTTAAATACTAGCAGTGCTTAACCAAAACAATCAAAGAAGAAACAAACAAGCACACCTACTGTCCAACTTATAAACTAAACTGAACTAAGTTTTAACTTTAAAGCTAAGCTATTAAAGCTTAACTAAGCCTGAGCTGAGCTTAACTATGAGCAAGCTAAGTCAAGCCATAGCCAAACCTTAGTTAAGCTAGCCTTAGCTAAGCTAAACTAATCTTAAATTAACTAAGCCTAAGCTAAGCTTAACTTAGCAAAGCTAAACTAAGCCTAAGCTAAGCTGATCTAAGATGAACTAAGCCTAAGTCCTAGCTAAGCTTCACTAAGCTAAACTAACCTAAGCTGAACTAAACCTAAGTCTAAGCTAAAATATGACTATAATAAGCCAAGCCAAACCAAACCTAAATTAGGCTAACCTAAGCCTTAGCTAAGCTAAACTTATCTAAGATGAACTAAGCCTAAGCTAAGCTAAATTATGAATAAGCTAAGCCAAGCCTAAGTTAAACTAAGCCAAAGCTGAACTTAACTAACTAACAATGTCTTGTAAACAATAACAATCTTACCAGCCATGGTAACATATTCCTATAATTAGAGCCACCACATAAAATGCTATGAAGAAACCAGCTGCAGCCAGGGTAGCTTTATAATACTGAGATTCTAAAATACAAAAGTTACAAATCTTAATTTATCATTTTTTCAAAATACTATTTTGTCTCCAAACTAATTACTTTTAATTATCATCAGACTTAAAATCATACTTGTAAAAATTGTGGCCTATTGAATTTTCATGTAAATATAGCAATAATTTCATATTTATGAACAGAAATCTGGGTTGAAAAGGTTGTATAAATAATGACTTACTTGGTATAGTTTTTTCAATGTGAATTGAGACATTTTTTTGCCGGATAAAGGCACCACTTGGCGGCTGAATAGCAACCGGTGTAACGCCATCTGTACATTCAGTGTCACTCGGTTTGACAACAACAACAACAAAAAATGACCCGCTTGGATGCTCGGATTTCTACAGTAAACAAAATTTATATAATCATGATTTCAATCAACCTAAATTGATTTTTATTTATTATCAAAATTCAATAACAAACCCATTTTTTCTGTTCAGTAATAGAAATTTAATATTCTCTACTAGCAAAAGCCTTCTCCTGACCAATTATTCGAGCAAAAAAGATTCGAGACATAAAATCTTCAAATACAGTATACAAACCCATATAAAAATGTTATCAATAAACTAATTATCACAATAAATTCATTCAACTCATTCATTTAATCCATTCATTTAATCCCTGCTCATTTTGATATAAAAGACCTGTCCTAATTTCATTTTGAAAGAGTTCATTGTTAATTTTCTGATGTTCATTTATCAAAATATGACATTAAATACATTGTATTGTAGGTATGAGCTCAAATCCAGTACCAACCATATTCTCATATGATATCAGAGAACTGGTTAGTTCCAGGAAGCAAACTCAAAAGAGTATGTGGTTGATTAATGCCATGTCATATTTTCGCTTCTTCGCCTCAAAATGTGAAAATGCGAATACCTGAAGTCATCGATTTGTGTTTTTCGCATTTTGGAAAATCAGCCACCATAAAAGAGGCTTAAATAAGCTACAAACGTTTTTCCTAATAATGTTGAAACTAAAAACGTTGGTAGCAATTGCAACTCATATTCATTAATAAAAATTAAAGAAAACTTTGAGACCTCGATGGAAATTGCTCCCTGTGTTGTCATGGTCTGGTACTTGCCCTGATACTCCACATCTGTGTCAAGGTCAAATATAGGACACTGAAACAGACAAAATAGTTAACTTGTTAAATCAAAGGAAAAATAATAATCATTTGAGCCGCGTCATGACAAAACCTACATAATGCGTTTGCGACCAGCATGTATCCAGACCAGCCTGGGCATCCGTTCAGTCTGATAAGGATCCATGTTGTTCGCTTACCAACACTTTTACAAGTACAGAAACTGATAGCGAACAGCATGGATCCTGATCAGACTGCGCGGATGTGCAAGCTGGTCTGGAGCCATGCTGGTCGCAAACGCACTATTTTGGTTTTGTCGTGATGCGGCTCATTTTGTCATTATACCACCATAACATGATAATGATCAAAGTTGTCTTTTGTTGTTGTTTTTTTAAAGCCAGTTTCAAGATTTATGCTATAATTCATAAAAAAAAATTGAAATTTAAAATATTTCTGTAATTATTATTGATAAAAAAAATCAATAATGCACATGAAGTGATTTTAAAGGAACTCAACATAGGACTTTTGATATGATTGGCCTGGAAATATTTTTTCAATACTTATGTACTATTTGATGTATGTCTGAACCAATAAACTTGTGTGCAAACTTTTAGTTCTTCCAGAATAATTCTTTTAAGTGTGAAAAATGACTCAAGAGTCTCACCAAAATGCAATTTTCAATTCAAACTAATGTGTAAAAATTAATGATATATGCAATTAATTACTGGCTTTGCAGCACTTATTTCTAATGTATGACTAATGCAGTAAGTGCTATTTTTTGCAAATTATTTGGTAATTTTCATAGATTGTAAGTGCTGTTTACTCTTTGATTGTAGTTCACTTGACAATACAATTAAGTCAACGTCTGGTGAAATCACTTAAATATTGCCTGTAACACAATGATTTTGTCTCTTCAAACTTTTTTTTTTATTTGGGGGGGGGGGGGGGGTCAGTGTAAAATGACAGCTTATGTTAGATCCTGTATATATGTATAATTACGTGACAATTTAACAATGAACACTTCATTTCTTACTTCCTGTCTATATTAACAATACTCAAACTGACCTTGATAACTGATTGCAACAAATAAACATGTGTCTACATAAAAATTGCAACTCATCAAATGATTTATAAATATTCATACATTATCTCTACTGTTCTATTTTTTTTATCTTTTTTGTTTCATTGTGTCAGATTGAAATTTTGAAAATTGGTTGACTCATCTTAACTGTAGAGGACTTGTGTGCAGCTTTAGATTATATTGCTGAAACCCGGGAATAAAATGAAATAGTAATTATCACTCATGGCATTTCATCATTGAAACATAATTAATAAATATCTGTTATTATGGTACTCATTCCAGTGTATCATTGAAACAAAACAAAATGCTATTTTCACTCATGACAGATATCAGTGAATCAAAGAAATAATTATTCACTCATGGAAATTTGTCTATGAAGCATATCAAACTACTTATTTACTCACTTATGAATATATAATTTCCCCCTATTTCATTTTTTCTTTTTTAACATTGAAATAAAATGAAATACTATATTTACAGATTGATATAAGCCAAATGTCTTACAAAACTGGGTATCTATTTCAATCAGCAGTTTATATATATCAGGTTGATATAAGTCAAATTTCTTACAAGACTGGGTATCTATTTCAATCAGCAGTTTTTTGCTATTTACAGAAATAATTAAATGAAATATGATATCTTATTATTGACCTTTTGATATAATTTTGTCAAAATTTTAATTAGATTTTATGAAAAAAAACTTCTTTTTTTTCTACAAAACTGAAGGTACATATTTTATATACATGCAGTAAAAAATAAGCTTTCATTTACTATTGAAGATCCCTGGAATTACTAAAATATACCCCAGGCTAATAACCTGTGAATAATTATAATATGGTCATGAAAGGGGAATATTACAAAAGACCAATTAAAAAGTGGAATGACCAGAAAGAACAACAGTAATTTAAGAGGTCATTTCAGCCCTGACAACACACAAATTAAGTTGTTTTTTTAACTGGATTATAAACTGTCCCTTTAGGATAATTATTTCGAGATGCGGTGGTCAAGTCCACTATTATGGTGTAAAAAACAGTTATCATATTGTGTTTATTATCTTTAGGCAGGCAGGCTTGCTATATAATTAAAATATTGACAAATTGATCAACTGTCAGCGTAACACAGTAGGTAAGGTTGTCAGTTAATTTTCTAGTTAAATATCAATGCAAGACTGGTTCGGATTGTATTTTTTTCTCTAAAATAAATTCTACGTCACTGTCACATTATCATAGCAGCACAGTAACAATAATTTATACTTTATTCAGAAATAAAACATTATATGTCCATCATTTTGCATATCTTAATACATTATCACACAGAGAGTTGTAATATCTAAATACATTATCACACAGAAAGTTGTAATATCTAAATACATTATCACACAGAGAGTTGTAATATCTAAATACATTATCACACAGAGAGTTGTAATATCTAAATACATTATCACACAGAGAGTTGTAATATCTAAATACATTATCACACAGAGAGTTGTAATATCTAAATACATTATCACACAGAGAGTTGTAATATCTAAATACATTATCACACAGAGAGTTGTAATATCTAAATACATTATCACACAGAAAGTTGTAATATCTAAATACTTTATCACACAGAGAGTTGAAATATCTAAATACATTATCACACAGAGAGTTATAATATCTAAATACTTTATCACACAGAAAGTTGTAATATCTAAATACATTATCACACAGAGAGTTGTAATATCTAAATTTCATTTATCAAACTTCATCACAAAGGCAGTTTAAACAATGAATAACAATTGTAAACAACAATATGATCTTTTCTGCAAAAACAATTGAAAAATATATATAATAATGTATAACTGAAACTGATCACAAATCATATTTAACATTTACAGAAAACATTGTTTTCTAGGGAGGACATGGATTTTTCACTTGCATAATTAGATTTTTATGAAGTGTATGCGAGTTCTGTGATCATCAGTAAATTTCATTGAAATGAGGGGCTATCTTGTTTGAAGACATGTTAGTCGGCAATCCCTTTATAACCAGGTTACTTTTACATGTCAGGCATATTTTTCTCATAGAAAATTAAGATCTTAAAGCAGCACGCCTCAAGATTCATACTAATTTTCATGAAATTTTTGAAAATATATTTGAATGTATAATATTGTGAAATAACCAAATAAAAGCAATACACACATTATCAATGGCGCTTACAACCCATGTTAATTACCAAAAAGTGGTCAAAATATACATGAATAGCCCTTACTGCGTTAGTAACGCAATAGAAATATAGTTGTAAATATTGACAAGAGCGATCAGTAATCACATGTGTCGCCTCATGATGGCCAATTTCATGTTGGGACAAAGTTTGTGACAGACGGACAGACAGACGAACAGTGCACAACTACACTTGGTACTGATCATTCCTGTAAAGTTTGGATAAAATTGCAGGAGTAGTACAGACAAGCTTTTGCGTATCTGGCAACACACAGAAAAAAACACCTTTTTATCAAAGGGCCATAACTCGGCCAAAAATCATTCAACCGGAAAACCGTGCAATATGCGCAAGGACTTGAGCTACAGATTAATCCTGTAAAGTTTCATTGAAATTGCTTTAGTGGTATAAGAGAAGAAGTCCGGACAAACTTTAAAATCAAAAATTATTAAAGGGCCATAACTCTGACAAAAATCATTGAACCGGAAAATGCTGATAATATGCACAACTAGACTTGGTACTGATCATTCCTGTGAAGTTTGGATGAAATTGCACCAGTAGTTTATGAGGAGTAGTACGGACAAGCTTTAGTGTATCTGGCAACACACAGAAAAAACACCTTTTTATCAAAAGGCCATAACTCGGCCAAAAATCATTCAACTGGAAAACCCTTGCAATATGCGCAAGGACTTGACCTACAGATCAATCCTGTAAAGTTTCATTGAAATTGCATTAGTTGTATAAGAAAAGTAGTCCAGACAAACTTTAAAATTAAAAATTATTAAAGGGCCATAACTCTGACAAAAATCATTGAACCGGAAAATGCTGACAATATGCACAACTAGACTTGGTACTGATCATTCCTGTAAAGTTTGGATGAAATTGCACCAATAGTATATGAGGAGTAGTCCGGACAAGTTTTGTAATGGACGGACGGACAGGCGTTTTCACAGGACAGTAATTATGTGGCTACTCTTTTGTTCTCTCTATTGTTCTTTTTAGCCACACAAAAGAAAATAGCCACATAAAAGCATTACGGAATGAATGACATCAAAGAGAAACAAGAGCTGGTTGAACCGGGTGATGCTCCCTGAATAGGTTTTGGACACAGGAAGGTATACCTCTTGCAGTGTCAGAGTTATATCACAGAAAAAGTTCAAAGTGCAAAAATAACCCAAATGTGCACGACACATTGTCTCAATAATTATGGTGATCATTTTTGTGAAATAGTTGTAAAATCCAACTTCAAATAACAAAGTTATGGGCCGGACATGATTCTGCTGCAAGGTCATGCTGTGACCTTGACCTTAAAGGTAGCAACCCAAATATTGCATACGACACGTCGTCTCAATATGGTGATCATCTCAGTGAAATGGTTGTTAAATCCGACTTCAAGTAATGAAGTTATGGGCCAGACACGATTTTGCTGCAAGGTCATGCTGTGACCTTGACCTTCAAGGTGGCGACCAAATGTTGCGCGTGACACATTGTCTCATTATGGTGATCATTTCTGTGAAATAGTTGTAAAATCCGACTTCAAATAATGAAGTTATGTGCCGGACACAAATTTGCTGCAAGGTCATGCTGTGACCTTGACCTTCAAGGTAGCAACCCAAATGTTGCGCATGACAGGTCATCTCAATACGGTGATCATTTCTGTGAAATAGTTTTAAAATCTGACTTCAAATAACAAAGTTATGGGCTGGACACAAATTTGCTGCAAGGTCATGCTGTGACCTTGACCTTCAAGGTAGCGACCTAAATGTTGTGTATGACACGTCATCTCAATATGATGATCATTTCTGTGAAATATTTTTAAAATCGGACTTTAAAAAAACGAAGTTATGGGCCGGACACAATTTTACTGCAAGGTCATGCTGTGACCTTGACCTTCAAGGAAGTGGCCCAAATGTTGCGCATGACACGTCGTCTCAATATGGTGATCATTTCTGTGAAAAAGTTTTAAAATCCAACTTCAAATAACAAAGGTATGGGCTGGACACGATTTTGATGCAAGGTCATGCTGTGACCTTGACCTTCAAGGTAGCGACCCAAATGTTGCGCACGACACGTCGTTTTTATATGGTGATCATTTCTGTGAAATATTTTTAAAATCCGACTTCAAATAATTAAGTTATGGACCGGACACGATTTTGCTGCAAGGTCATGCTGTGACCTTGACCTTCAAGATAGCAAGCCAAATGTTGCGCGCGACACGTCGTCTCAATATGGTGATCATTTCTGTGAAATAGTTTTAAAATAAGACTTCAAATAACAAAGTTATGGACCGGACACGAATTTGGGACGTACGGACGGACGGACGACCCAACGACTATATGCTCCCCCGAAATTTTTCGGGGAGCATAAAAACAGTTACCTATTGTCCCTCTAGCCACATAATTACTCTCCTGTGAGTGCAGACGGACAGACAGACGGACAGAGGGACAGACAGATGACGGAGAAGTGATCCCTATATGTCGCCACTACTCCGTAGAGGCGACACAAAAAATCAGTCATTAATCGCACATAAAATATAAAATATTACTTGAATTTTGTATCCTTTTACTATTCCTACATGTAAAACCTAGTACATTTTTTCTCAAGTTTGTTTTTATTGAGATATTTTGACTCATCTGGAGGCATGTAGCTTTAAAAACAAATTCTGAATTTAAGGTATTTTTGGCCATTTTTATTTGTTTGGGTCGTCAGACCAAACAAATAATGGTAGCGAAATTTCAGAGTCTAATGTTGTTAATTGCAAATGCCGAAAGTAGTCCACTTTTTTGAAGCGGTTACTTCCCTTTTGTATGTACACTAAAGCCGAAAAATTCAGGGGAGATCACTGCGTAAAGATGGTCAAAGACAGGCGCATCAATTTTCAAGCAAAGTAATTCCCGAATGGTCGAAGATTTCTAATATTGTTTTATTGTATTTTCTGATCGAAAATAACTAAATACGAAGCGGACATTCAATCTCTGACACAGAAGTTTACAACAAACCTAACAACAAGTAGTTCTCAAAACAGCTTAAAACTAGCGATTTAAAAGAAAGAAATATTTTATTTTGTTACAAGTATCCAACAAATTACAACGCATTTAAAGTTAAACAATAGCGTTGGCTTATAGAATTGTCAATAAATGCACAATCACAAATTACGCGGATGAATATGATTTTATCAATGAAAATACTATTTATTACCGAATACTACATAAACCGAGAAGTGGGATATATAGATTCTACATGTCGGACTGTTTGGGGGAGAGGATTTTCGCTAAAATATTTACTTCAATTTTAAACAACAGGTTTACCCTGAACAAAATACCTCGAAATTAATAAGGATTACAAACCCGAAATGCAATGGAAGTTCTAAATTTAGAATGACTTGATATTATTCAGACTTTCTGTGTATAACTTCTCCGTGGTACAGTGGTAACGCGCTGGCGTAGTGAGTGAGAGGTCTCGAGTTCGAATCCCAGTCGAGGAAACTTTTTTTTTGTTAAATTCTTTTTTTAAGTGTTTTTGTTAAGGAAGTAGCCATGATATGCAAGGATAAAGTGTGGCTGTCGTAAAAAATGAACATAAATGATTTTTTGATGCAACTCTAGTTATGCAGAATTCCGTATGTATCAAACTCTGGTGCCTTGCAAAATGAATTAAATTACATAAAAATAAACCTATACAGGAAAATGCATACAGATATACAGTACGATTTAGATTGCAAAGATCAGAAAATACCACAGAACTTGCAGCCCTTTGATTCTTTATAAATATAAATGCTTATAGTAAGCTCCAGGATTATTTACATCTGTGTTAAACAACAGTTAAAGTCGTTACAAGCCCTAATTTAGAATAATATGGTTTTCTTCAGCCCGTTCACATATAAATTCACCGTGGCTGAAGGGTTTTCGGGCTCGCTTAGAAAGCGAGAGGTCTGGAGTTCAAATCCCAGTAAAGGTAACTCATTTTTTTTCAAATTGTTAAAGTCAAATAAACATTGGATTGAATATCAGTGTTGCAATTAGTCTTATAGCCAATTTACTACAATTAAAACGCTGGAAAGCATTGGTGGCACTATACATATAATCTCACAACCTGCACCTTTCTTACATTCTGAGACCCAAACAAATTCAGCGCCTTCTGTGCTTTGATTTACAATGTAAGTTTGGTGGAAAAATAAGAGTAAATTGGCCTGTAAAGGAATAGATCTTTCGTCCTCAAGTTAATCCTGTCCCATGTATACACTTATGCTACAAGGCGAGATTAATTTAGCTAAACCCAAGTAAATAGTTAAATATGTAATGTAATGTAAAGTTATGTAATGTAATGTAATGTAATGTTATGTTATGTAATGTAATGTAGTACTCAGGCCAGAACATCATCAAGAATGCTAAGCTGAGCTTCTTACGCAGATTTGGTAGACATGACTCTAGACTTGTCACTTCAGAGAGAAAGCTATGAGATACAAGGGAATCTGGGAACCAGTCCCTAGCTCTTATTGAAAAGACCCTTTGATTCTTTTACATGCCCAGTGAATAGCACTGATACATGCGAGGATTACCTGGGCTTCTTACCAGTACACCTCTGGTTAGGTGGGAAACACTGAAAGTGTCTCTGAAAAATCCCAAGGGTGTTACTCAGGATTGAACTTGGGACCTCGGAAGTGACATCCAGTGGTCTAACCGACTGAGCTAACTCGCAACCTCTATATATGCAGTCAAAATAAGTATTATGCAATAGATCCTACAAATTCAGTTTAATCATTCTGCTTGACTACTTTGACGTTCTTGTCATTCATTCTAATACATGTATATAAAATCATTTGTTTTAAACTCTTTTTTACTATTCTATATAAAGTCTTCAAAAAAGAAAACCAATCGCAGTCAGCCATATATTGCTACATCTAATATGTTGAAATAAAGAAGAAAAATGAAATAATTTATAATAATATATAAACTGAGGAAAGACCCTTTATTTATTTATCAGGAGGCAGCTTTCAAATAATGTACATTCTGGCACGTGCATTTGAATACTTTTGTCCTATTATTGTACCGGAAATAAATTTTATATTACATTCAAAACATCATGTGAAACTTGTTTGGGAAAATTACTAATTGTATGTATACTTGACATTATTATGATTAGATTTAATGATGTAATGGTACAATGTATCAAGTATCTCTCCTTAAAACACTTGAGGAAAAAATAACTGGTGCCATTTCGTTTCAATGCATCTTGTATTTGTTTCTTTTGACAGGCAAGAGAACAGTTCACAACCTCTTAAGAATAAGAGCATTTAAGTAGTTATTTTAAATTAATGTATAAACAATACATTCTTTCGATCGAGAGAAAATTTATCATCATAAACTGAAAGAATAGTGAACGAATGGGATAAAATTTTGTTCTTATGAATAAAGGAATCGGATTGTTTCAAGTTGTTTTCAAATTATTCTAAACTGATATGGGCAAATATTTTGTACCAGCTTCAAGAAAGTTTTACAACAAATATTTACATATAAATATGCAGTTGTTCGGTAAAGTAACAGTCATTCTCTTCAGTGTATTTGCTTTGACGAGTTCAGCAAACGAATTTGATCGTCTAAAGTTAAGGGTCAAACATTTAGAAACTAGACTTAATACCGAGTTTACGTTTAGAGACGAGGATATTGCTGAAATTACAGGACGACTAGATGACATAGATAAAGTGTTAAATGCTACTATTGGAAAACAACAGCCCATTCCTTCAGCTGCATCAAAAGCTGGCGACACTGATTTTGAAACAGTGGATACATTGAAAGAGGATTTCACTAGACTTAGGTCAGCCTTCACAGAAGAAAAAACTGAGATTAAAAGATTACGACGGGAAATTCCAAAGATTGAAAACAATTTGATATCCCTAAACAAAGATGTTAAAGATTATTGTGAAGTTGCTGTTAATAACACTGATCATTTATTAACCAGCTTTGAAAAGGTCCAAAATGTGCACAAAGACATTATAAACACACCTGAAATTAAAGCGCTAGAAAGTATGGCTGACCAGGTACAACTAAACACTAAACAAATTGAAAACATTGAAACTCTTGTTACTGTTTTATTAATGCACAGTGGTTACTCATTCTCGAGTTCCCCCTGTGATTTGTTAAGAAAAATTAATCAGAAGAAAAGTAAAATTTACAATTTTCAAAAAGGTTTGGAAATCTACTGTGACCAAACTACAGACGGTGGGGGCTGGGTAGTATTTCAAAGAAGACTTAATGGTAAAACAGATTTTTATCGAAACTGGACTGATTATAAAAACGGCTTTGGTGACCTGAATGGTGAGTTCTGGCTCGGCAATGAACATTTGAGTCTACTGACATCAGATGGCGGACATGAACTGAGAATAGACATGGAAGATTTTGAGGGAAACAGTGCATATGCCAAGTATAGTAAGTTTAAGGTATATCCGGAAGAAGACAATTACAGACTGGAGGTGAGTGGATACAGTGGAACTGCTGGAGATTCTCTTAGACGTCATAATGGAGCGATGTTCTCAACGTATGATAGAGACCATGATACATCCAGGACAATGAATTGTGCAAAAAGTAATCATGGTGCATGGTGGTATAACAGTTGCCACTATTCCAATCTAAATGGACAGTATTATAACCAGCCTGGCAAAATGCATTATACTGGAATTAACTGGTGGGATTGGAAGAAAAAATACTACAGTTTGAAAAAAGTAGAAATGAAATTCCGTTAAGATGATCTACTGAGATATTATCACAGTTATAAAGTTTATCAAATAATACGTTTGTAGTATTTTGTTATGTAAACTTTAAAGAAATATTTCTTGTGATAGCTTATCAAGAAAAAAGACTGCACACATGCATAGTGGAATCACTGTCAGGTTGACTAACATTTCATAGTTACGTTGTTGGTTGCAAATGTTACCTGACATTAAATAGTGCCTCAAACATACATGTATACATGTATATGTATTGATTCCAATTCTTCAAATCTTGTGAAGATCCCACAGAATGTTACGCTATCTATATGAGTTATCTTAAATTTCTTACAAAGTAATAATAAGGCAGGCAAAATGTGATTTTAGAATATATATATATTTGTTGTTTTTTTTTAACCAAGTTTAAGGCCCCTTAATATTTCAATAAAAAGAAAACAAACATGAAAAGAATACAATACAAACAAGATAACTATAGCATTTAAATTGATAAGTAGGTTATCAATAATAAATATACTTATGATGTTTAAGTCAGGTATTTTTGAAGATATAAGATATTTTATAAAGTTAAGAGGTTCATTTATATAGATAATTACACAAGAAAAGGGGCAAAAAGTGTGAAAAAAAACTGTTTGGTACCAATTCTCTCTGCATGTATTTTTGTAGATATCAACCCAACGATTAGATTTATCCAGCAATTTTCAAACTAATGTATCATTTTGTAATGCAACAGGTCTTTCTATTTTTATCTGTTTTAAAACTTCCTTTTGAAAGATACTAATGTCTGGAATTTGTTTCTTTATTTATTTTGCTGGTATAAATGTAATATTTTGAGAAGAGGAAAATATATGATGTTTTCTTACCTTTAGCATGAAGACAGATGTAAAATTGTCATATGTTACATTTATTGCTATTTCATTTAGCCATTTGAATATATTTTTCCATAATATTTGTACCGTTAGGCAGTCCCAAAATAGATGCTCTATCATACAGCAAAAATCACAAAGACTAGATTTGGTTAATTTACATTGAAGGAGGAACTTGTTCGTTGCAATGTTCCTATGTAATTTCTATGTAGAAATTATATTGAAAGTTTTGTAAAATATATTCTTTACAGTATACAGAAATGTTTTTGTAAATATTTTGCCATTAAAATTCTTTTTGTGCAAATCGTTCTCATCATTTTATTTTCGATTTTGTTTTTTGATTTTTACACAGTCTCATTTGCTTTTGAATCTGTGTAAACTTTTTACTGATATTGGACATGTTTGTTTTTACTATGATATCAAAGTGCTTTATTTCTGTTCACAAATTTAGTTTTACATTAAAATGAATATTGCCAAGTCAGCAAAATTCTACTAATAAGTTTTTTTGTACTTTCAATTCTATAGCTAACCCATTTTAAATCTATAGCTAAATTCTCTCTTAAATCTATATCTAAACTTTCTTTAATCTACGGCTAAAATCTTTTAAATCTATAGCTAAACTCTTTTAAATCACTAGCTATACACTATTAAATCTATAGCTAACCTCTCTTTTAAATCTATAGATAAACTTTCTTTTAAATCTATAGCTAAACTCTCTCTAAAATCTATAGCTAAACTATTTTTATTCTACTGCTAAAATCTTTAAATTCATAGCAAAACTCTCGTTTAAATATAAAGCTTAACTCTATTAAATCTATAGCTAACTATTTTAAATCTATAGCTATATACTATTAAATTTATAGCTAAAATATTTTAAATCTATAGCTAAAATATTTTATATATATAGCTAAACTCTTTTTAAATCTATAGCTCAAATCTTTTAAATCTGTAGCTAAACTCTTAAAAGTTATCTGAATTACGTACCTGAGTATTTTGTATAGAAAGAACAGCACATTTCTTATCAGAAGACTTTGCCCTGACCAACACTGTCTCTACACCCTCGGGGAATGTGTACATATTAAACACTGGCTTGGATGGTAAACTGATCACTTCATGATAACTATTGGTCCTGTAATGAAAACAAAATACTGACGTAGTTCTGCCAAGACATGAGTGTGACTAAAAAAAGTGTTGGAGCACCACACTAAATACCGTATTCCGGTTATATATACCGGACAAGGTGCTTGATCTTGCCTTTTCAGCCATCGAAATGCACTTTAGTTTGTCTAATTAATCTCTTCACACCGATTTATGTACAATCATGAATGAAAAATGTAAGAAAGGGCGAAAAAAGCGATACTTTTCTACATTGTGATTTCTGCGTCTAGAGGTAATGCTCCAACCCTGTAGAAAGTTAAATTCAAACATAATTGTAACTTTATTTGACTAAGGGATGTAGATATTTAAGCCTTTATCTACTTGAACTAAGATTATCTAGCCTTTTCCACCAGTATAAAGTTAGGCCAGTCTGTATATCCCTAGAGTATGACCAAGCCCTATACTGTTGATAGCACAATTTTTATATTTCGATAATATTATCGAAATCCATTAAATTTTGATCGAGATTCTTCCAAATTCAAAGCAAGGCAAATCAATTAGACATTTAGCAGATTAAAAAGGGTTTAATTTTTTTGTTTCATTTTTGTTGCACTTTTAAGGTTTAAATTTCCCGATCATTTATAGTTAAATTTTGGTTAAAAAAACAAACTCTGAATGAAATTTGAGACTTTAATTAGACATAAAAAATACCCCTGGGTTTTTTCAGTTTTAAATTCTGCTAAATAAATCTTTGATTAAAAAAAATCTTTTTCCCCAAAATTAAAAAATGTATCTAAAAACAACATCAGAAAAAACCAAGACAGTCAAGTCTATTAAAAATTCTGTACATCCCAAAGGGGGCTAATTTTAAATTAAAAAAAATTTAATTTAATCTGAATCATCAAAATTTTTCTTAGAAATATCATTTTCTCTAAAAATTGGCCCGTAGCACTGGGGGAAATCCCAGTAGCCCTGGGGGTTTGGGGAGGTATTTTAAGCAAATTTCGGTGGGGGCCCAATTCTACGTATTTAATATTGATGTCACTAGAAAATTTATTCAAGCAATAAATATTACTGTAGCATAAAGTCATATACAAGCTCTGCTCTCAATGTAAACGATATCTCCCTCTCTGCCTGTGTTGAAAACTCCACATATATCTTCTGAACTGTATGGTTTGTGTCTACAGGGCACAGTGTGCGACTCACGTCCATGTAGTTAAAACTTTTCATAACTAAAGGTATCTGCCATGACATAACACTTCTTTCTTGTCTGACAACCACTATAGTGGGGAAATCTTGAACACTGTCAATGCTAGTTGAATATATCCTAACAGCCCCAGGATTCTTCTGAAACAGATATTTCTGACAATATTAACTATAATAACAACTAGGGATTTACATGTATCATATGAGCCGTGCCACGACAAAACCAACATAATGGGTTTGAAACCAGCATGGATCCAGACCAGCCTGCGCATCCCCGCAGTCTGATCAGAATCCATGCTGTTCGCTTACTAACCCTATTACAAGTTTATTTTGTTTTGTTTTGGGTTGTACGTCACATCAACACAGTATAGGTCATATCGCGACGTTCCAGCTTTACTGGTGGAGGAAGACCTCAGGTGCCCTTCCGTGCATTATTTCAGGCACGAACGGGTACCTGAGTAGAACCACCGACGTTCCGTAAGCTAGCTGGATAGCTTCCTCACATGAAAGAATCCAAAGTCCCTGTCGGGATTCGAACCCACAAGCAGAGAGACTGATAGCGAACAGCATGGATCCTGATCAGACTGCGCGGATGCGCAGGCTGGTCTGGATCCATGCTGGTTGCACACCCATTATGTTGGTTTTGTCGTGACACGGCTCATATATTTTTGATCAAACTTTTATATTATTAACTTTAATGTAAAATAATATTCCTTAGAAAAATTAAAATATTGAATTTATTTATTTTGTATTTATATGTGGCTAATAAAATGCAATAATTATAAATCTAAAATCAAGGAATTACCTCTTAAAAATGTTTGTGTACTTAAATTTGTAGGTAAAACTAAGAGGATTAGTTATTGTAATTCTCATCTGTATTGTGATTACTATTGTATTTTTTTTTACTTTATGTAAACCATTTCTCATTGATTATTTGTTGATTGCTGTTGCAAAAAAAATTGTATGTTTAACACTGATTAAAATCTAGGCTACTGATACTTATCGGTCACCTAGATAAAGTACTGTATTGTCTATTGCTTTATCAAAGCAGACAAATTTTTTCCCTATTTTTCACCAATTATTCCTGTCTAGCACCTTTCTTTGGTGATTTAGACATAAAATGACTGAAATTAATTACAGTTTTCAATTGTGAAACAAGTCTGGAATAGCCTGCCGAATGAGCTAAGAACAGAAACTGATTACGGCAAATTCCAGAGGCTTATCCAGACCTGGAGTGGCTTCAAATGCAAGTGCTCTATGTGTGCCCAAGTGTTTTTAGTATTGTTGTTTATGCCTTTTCTTTAGTTACTGCCTTTATGTATGTTAATGTAGCTGCTTCTTTTGATTTCTTCTGTGTTTTGTATATGGCCTTTATTTTTTGTTTGATATTATTTTTTATGTGCTTCTTATATGCTTCTTATATACTTACAACTATTCTGTATAACCACAGTGTCATTTGTCAGTATGTTAGTTTTTGAGTGTGTGGGAGTTGCTGATCACTTTTCCCATATTTAATTATGGGGATAACAGCTTTTAACCATTTTATTGTCTAACTTTTAATTCAATTTGACATTAATTAATCTATATATATTTTTTTATTAAGCTTACCCAAATGACTTTGTTTTAGGCCAGCTCAGACCAGCAACTGCTACACAAACATTTCCAATTTTATCTTGACACATGTACATGTTGTTTCACATTCATATTTTCATAGTTGAGTATATATCAGATGCTGCTATTGAGTATATATCAGATGCTGCTACTGAGTATATATCAGATGCTGCTACTGAGTATATATCAGATGCTGCTACTGAGAATATATCAGATGCTGCTATTGAGTATATATCAAATGCTGCTACTGAGTATATATCAGATGCTGCTACTGAGTATATATCAGATGCTGCTACTGAGTATATATCAGATGCTGCTACTGAGTATATATCAGATGCTGCTACTGAGTATATATCAAATGCTGCTACTGAGTATATATCAAATGCTGCTATTGAGTATATATCAGATGCTGCTACTGAGAATATATCAAATGCTGCTACTGAGTATATATCAGATGCTGCTACTGAGTATATATCAGATGCTGCTACTGAGTATATATCAGATGCTGCTACTGAGTATATATCAGATGCTGCTACTGAGTATATATCAAATGCTGCTACTGAGTATATATCAGATGCTGCTACTGAGTATATATCAAATGCTGCTACTGAGTATATATCAAATGCTGCTACTGAGTATATATCAAATGCTGCTACTGATATATGCTAGAGGCAGCATGCTGGACTTTGGGTCAGTCGTAATGATATATGATCGAATTCTCATTTTCATTTTTCTTATTTACTTTTTCTAATTCTAATAATAAGGTTAAGTGTACATAAAATGGAATTCTAGTATGTTGTAATATTCTGTGATGCTTGATTGCAGCGTGATATCTGCTTTTAGTCAATTATTATCTTATCCATATTAATATGTGCTTACAAATCTAATTGAGCCGTGTCATGACAAAACCAACATCCGCGCAGTCTGATCAGGATCCATGCTGTTCGCTTACCAACCCTATTACAAGTAGAGAACCTAATAGCGAACAGCATGGATCCTGATCAGACTGCGTGGATGCGCAGGGTGGTCTGGATCCATGCTGTTTGCAAACCCACAATGTTGGTTTTGTTGTGACGCGGCTCAATTTGTTTTACAGATTCAAAAATGAACATTGATCTTCTTCATCCTTTTTTATATTTTGTCTTTATACAAGTTGTTTGTTTGCATTGTTAAAGGATAGTCTGTTATGTTGGAAAATAGCTGATATAGAATTTCCTTAAACAATGGAACATTAAACACGAAACTTTAAGTCCCTACCATGCAAGTTCAAATGGACTTAGTGAAGTATATGTTAAAATTGCGAAACACATTCTCCAGAAAGCTAAGGATGACAATAAAGATCCTTATTTTCCCCCTTTTAGAATATAGGAATACACCGCTTAAATGTGGATGGTCATTCACTTAAAGATGACTCAAGTCACTTCTCCCAACAACCAACTCTCGCCACAAACAGTAAATCATCGTGAACCAAGAAAAGAAATAGAAAAAAATTCAAATTAATTAGCAAGAAGCATTCTGATAAAAACACACACAAAATGAAACCCCTAAAAATTGGAGAATCTGTAAGAATTTGTAAAGATAAGTACAGGATACCAGCCAAGGTTATAACCCAGCATAATGAACACTCATTTCACATGCAGCCCCCTTACGGTGCTGTTTATTGTAGAAAGCGCCATTTCCTAAACAAAGCTCCTGAACTATCTGACCTGTCATAACAAACACAGCAACCATCTAAAGTAGATGAACCCCAGGAATCTATTTTAAGTGAACAAACAAGTCAAAATACCCCTACAGAGTCCCTATCTCCTGCAAAAGTGCCAGGTAAATCAAAACTATTCACAATCACTATGTCACAAATAAGCTTTTAAAATACTGTGGAAGGAATGGACAAAGTGATAACATTTGCTGAAGTAACCATTAGTAAATAGATACAAGTTTTGGAGGGCCCGGGCTACCCCTCAAAACATATTTTTTTTTTTTATGCTCCTCAAAAATTAATGTAACTTAAATTTTTTTAAACCTTTAAATTCCCTTTTTTTTTAACAAGTTTTTTTTTTGGGGCCCTTTTGGGGGTAAAATTTATCCTTATTTTGTATGTGAAAGATTCCTAAAAAAAATATCCATTATTATAAATTTTTTAAAATGACTTATTTTTTATTTAAAAAGGAAACCATTTTCCAAAAACAAATAAAAATGTTTTTTCGGGAATAAGCTTTTTAGCTAAAGTGGTATTTTACGGTACCTTACAATTTTTCCCCAAACAAAACTTTTTAAACAGATATTTTAACATAAAAAAAAATAAAATTTTTATTAAATTTAAAATAGAAAATTCTGAAAAAATTAAAAAAGGTTTTTGGGTCAATGTATTGTCGGTTTCACAGGGGGTATTAGTTTTGAAACATATTTCTTTTTTTTACGTTTGATTTTAAAATGGAAAACAAGCGATTTGACCGGGTAAAAATATTAAACCCCGTGGTTGTCTTAAATTTTTCAAAAAGTAAAAACCCCTCACATTTATTTTGCATGCCAAAAGGAAACCCCCAAAATTTAAAACCATTTAGAAACAAAAAGGTGAAATGATTAAAAAAAATAATTTTTTAAAACCTAGGGAAAATGAATTTTTCATATTGTTTGAGATATAATTTTAAAGAATAAAAAAAAAAAAAATTTTTTAAGTTTTTGCACAAAAAAACATTTGTGGTTTCGTTAGGGGGTTAAGGGGAATGTTCCTTTTCGTTTATTTCTTGAATTTCATAATGTTTTAAATACAAATTTTTTTTTAATTACCATTTCTTTTATTATTAAAGTAAATAGGAAAAACCCCAAAATTAGTTATTCCATATTTTTTATTTTTTTTTTAAATTTGAAAAAATTTTTTTTTTAACACATTTTTTCCCTGGAAAGTTTTAAAAAAAGATTAAAAATAGCTGAAATTTTATTTCAGCATCTTAAATTTATTATTTAATTTTTTGGGTTGCACCTTTATTAATCAAGTAAATTACTGATACGACGTAAACACTGAAACACCAAACAGAAATACGAGTCATTTTATTTTTCAGCGTTGATAGAAATTAATCTACCCTTCCTGTTCGAAACAACTTTCACTTTCGTTTGCAGCCCGTTTCGTCTCGCTTCCGGTCTTCCGGGTATTAAAACAAAAAGTTTTGCATTCAGCGCAAAGTTATAAATTTTGACAGGTGCGGCCTTTTACTATTTCGGCATGTGTCAACTTGGATTATCAAATGTAAAAAAAATCTTTAGAAAACAAGTTTGCCTACCAAGATTCCTTCCAGGAACACACTAAATTTATCTTTAAAACTATTTATTGATAGGAAGTGGCTAGCCGTACGGGCCCGTACGGCTAGCCGTACGTGAGTCACGTACGACTAGCAAGGGAAGTCGAACATGCATATTTATTTTGTGCCTCATGATTATGATTTGTTGTTTTATTTGTATGAAAGATGATTTCTTTGAGAAAAAAAAACGGTGAAAATCAAAAATAATTGTACAATTTTCAAATACAATAGATAAATATCGAACATAAAAGCACAATCAATTAATAAGTACCCAGGGACTGACAATAGTATTTTATAATGCGTTTTACGGAACATGCAAACTTTCCTTATATTAACAAACTTCTATACCGTCGGTAATTGACGCAATTATCAGAGGCCAACAACAATAATTTGGTTATTTTTGTTTCATTTTAAAGGTGTCCAAAATTAAACTTAATGAAACAAAAAAGGATTATCATCACAATTTTGTAATTTATTTCAATTGATGTTATTTAACTGCGACCAAACGCTATTTTTTCTCAACGTCTTGAGATGACAAAGATCGATATTGGTACTTTTTTGCTGTAGCCAACAAAGCGATTAATCTCTAAAAAGTAAACATACGAAGACAATTGCTGTTTCTTGGTTAAAATCCTCCCTTAAAGTCATAAAATAACATGCATTTTTGGCTTCCATATAATTTTGAAAATTCCGTACGGCTAGCCAATACAGTGTGTCCTTGCTAGTCTTACGTGACTCACGTACGGCTAGAAATTTTGGCTGCCCGTACAGCTAGCCACTTTCTTATTGATAATAGCTTAGTAGAGAAAATAGAGAGAAATACATGTAAGAATCCCTAAAGAAAGCCCAACATGGTAAAATTGAAAATGTTGCAGGCTCGGTTTGATTGAGCCTGTTCATGGACGGTACTGTCAAGTGCAAACTACCGTCCACGCCCCCTAGCACCGGCTTAAGCAGAATTCAACATTTAACATGAACAGGTAAAATTTTGAATTTTGAAACATCCTCAGACGTGTTCATATGGCGGTTATCATGGAACTTAATTGTGACACGTAAGTGTCATTCCATGAAAAGCGGCATATGGCCCCAAGTAAAAACTTCGTGTGCCCTAAACGAGAAAACAATGGGCGGAACTAAATAAAATGGAATTTTGAAAGGGGATCTGAGGTTATGAAGCCTGCATATCACAGATATGACGTCAAAAGACAAACAAATATCCTAAGGGTGATTCAACAGTATTCAAGTATTCGAGTCACTGCTTTATATAAATAGAAATAGAAGTATGAAATAGAAGTATGCGTTTATGTAAGGCAATAAAACATATGGACTTGTCCGACTGGATGGGGGTATTATGTTATAACAAGAGCTGTCGGTATATGGAAAAAAAATATGATTTATGAATTTATGTAAACCATGGCCACGCCCCGAACACCTGTGTTTCTCATGAGAGGATTTTTTTCCTTTTCAAAGTTTATCAGTAGTTTGCAAATATATTTGCGTCTATATTTACACAGAGTAATGCATTGAAAGCGTACAAATTATCCTGAGTACAGAATGTAACAAACCACAGCGAATTACCCTTTAGCTTGCATTGGATGTGGCTCACCTAGATTTATGACAGGATCGAAGTCTAGCAGAGATAGGTTCCAATCTACAAATGTTTGTACACTTAATTCTATGTGGCATACTTAAGTATTACATGTAATACCTCTTTTTTAAGACAATGGTAACGTATCTAATATGCACTCATGTGTACACATAAGCAAAGTGTATTTAAAACAAAACAAAACAAAACAAACAGAAACAAAACAAACAAAAAACAAAACATGATTTAGGTCCGTTTGGATCCATGTTAAAGGATATAAAGTAACACAAAGTCCGATTTGGAACAGACTTTATTTATCTAACACTTTTGAACCAAATCGCACACAAATAAAATATGGGCATGTGACTAAGAAGTACAATTTATTGTTAATGAAAAGTAATATGCACAAAGCATAGCATAAACACTCGTCAACAACACAAAAGTTAACACCATAATTGGTATGGGTTCAAAATCAGTGTAGTTTTTGTCTCTTCTTTTTTTAAAATAGAGAAAATAAGAATCCCTAAAGAAAGCCCAACACGTCAAAATTGAAAATGTTGCAGGCTCGGTTTGATTGAGCCTGTTCATGGACGGTACTGTCAAGTGCAAACTACCGTCCAGCCCTAGGCACCATCTTAAGCAGAATCCAACATTTAAACATGAAATTGGTAAAATTTTGAATTAAGAAACATCAGCAGATGTGTCATATTGGGGTTTATGGAACCTTCAATGTGACACTTCCGTGCCATTCCATGAAAAGCGGCGTATGGTCCCCAAGTAATGGGAAGCGTGTGCCCTTTAGAACGAGAAAACAATGAAATGGAAAATTTTGAAAGGGGTTATGAAGCCTGCATATCACAAATAAAGACGTCAAAAGACAAAGTTACAAAGCAGGCAACATATCTAAGGGTGATTCAACATTATTCAATTAGGAATATTGGAACCAACCTAAATAGAAAATGCCGAAAAGTAAAAACTAAAAATACCAAAAGCACAACAATAATGTCGTGCTAAACGATCTTTAGGATCGGAAATATACACATCTCTGATTGAATGTACGGGCGACTTTCCACAGCCTCCAGCACGGAAAAACAACGCTAATGTGGCAATAAAATAGAAAAAATAAGAACCCCTAACGAAAGCCATGTTAAGTCTATGATTTTCATATAGAAGTGGTCTTGTTTAAACTTGCACATAATTTAAAACAAAATATTTGTGTACAAACAGCAACTTTCAAAATTTAAAGAAATCGCTAAAAGGGTGAGCTTAAAGGACTGTCTAAACGACAAAATAGATAATAAAGCTGACTCCTGTTAACTAAGCCTGTTCATGAATGACATCTGTAACATTCGCACACGAAGGGGAGATTATTGAAAATCAAGTTATAAATCATGACAAAGGATTTTTAATAAGAGACAAAGTGTAAAAGCAAAACATTTAAAAACTCTTTTTATGATAACATGTTTGTATAGGAACAATCTAGGCAACTATGTGCCGCACAAAGAGGTAAGAAGACTTTAAGTCTGTCCTTTTTGACTAAGCGTTTCCCTGGTGTATCTTGCTGAATAAGCCCTACACAGTATACCTACAGATAACATCAATTTTCAGGTCATTTATTAATCAAAATATCATTAAACTTTTTATCAATGAAGTTTATTTAATCCAAAGTATCAAATTTATTCTGGCATAAAAATACTGTGGGAGCGAAACGTCTTGGTGTGAACCTTTTTGGTATGAACCGTCTTTTTTCAGATTTTATTAAATACAGTCATGGTTCATAAGAACATGTGACATAAAATACAAAATTGTGAACATGTAACAACTGGAACACAGAAAAATATGCATGAAAATATACATAAAACAGGAGAATGAATGACAATCATATTGTATCCATAAAATAAAAAATATATGACTCTCAATAATAACCAAAATTTTATGCTTCAAAATTTCTAGGAGACTAATGATATAACATTATACTTATTATTTGCCTGTTGTAATTATTTCTTTACAAAATAAAGCAAGGTTTTTTTTTAATATGACTTGTTTTTACTATTTATAAGATCTTCAAATTTCAATGCATTAGGATACCTATAATAATATGGTTTAAGGTGACAACGGAGTCAATTATCACTGAAAATACCTAAAATGAGATTTTTTGCTAAGTAGATTTATCAACCTTTTCTGAACACATTTGTGATTTAATTTTGGAAGCAGTTAGTCCAAAAAATGTGTTTTTAAACGTTTTAAAACGGAACCTATACTATTTGTATCTGCATTCGCCGTAACCTGTCGATTATCGATAACGCTCCGCCCCCTGTTGAGGCATCAATGAGGGAAATCGGTAGTTCCATATATATCCGTGAATTACAGGTCCATACTGGTCCATACTTCTCGTAATACATGTATCGTACAACTAACGTACATCTTTTATGAATATCTCAACATTTAGCCTTTTTATAAACTTAAGAAATTGTCGGCCAATGTACGTAACTGAAACATAAATAATTAAGCATAAACGGCAAAATCGCCACGACCCACGTGGTTGATTAAAAATGTAGTTGCTAAAATATCCATAATGTGTGAAAATAATTTGTCTGTCCGTTAATCTGATAAATATTACGTTGAGTTGATAGACCTTTGTACGGATTCCAAGGCTTACTTTACATTCAACCTCGTTTTCTAACATGTCAAGTAAAACAACAACAAAAACAGACAACATTTTTATATGTGAACGCCTATGTGACTTGTGGAAAGGTGTCCCTGAAAAATTTCTAAACCATTTTAGATTGTCTAAAGATGATTATTTCTCTATAAATAAAAAAAAAAGATATTAAAATATATTCCTCAGTGAAAATAAATTGTTCGCGTCAGTAAATCGGAACAGTACTAATAAATCTGGGACAAAGTATGAAAATTTATTGTCTATCCCGGTAGAAACTGGATCTCTATGCCGTGCATAGATGATGATTCATAATAGAAGTCAAGAAGGCCAGATCATAACGATCTAGTAATACTTTTTATTTTCTATTAAAATATGTGAAGCATTATCAGTTTGGTGGAAAAAATATATAATATCCCCTGCTTATTTGTACATCTACCATGGACTTTAAAAGACTGTCAGAAGTTTAGTTTTTTGTTATTTTATTTTTATTTTAACGGAATTTTCATACAACGAATGCACAGGCAGAGTGATACTGGTATAATACAATAATAATGCTAATGATAATAATAATAAACATCAAAAAGGAAACAATTAAATACCCCGCTTGCGGTGCGCAAATGCGTTCCGTTTCCCCCCACTGAGTGCCTCAAATTTTTACCGATAGTCACGTGACATGTGAGACAGATACCAGACGATCAGTAAATCACGTTAAGAATTGAAAGAAATTTCAGCTATAAACTGATATTAATCAGCAGCTTTTTAATTGGTTAGATGTCACTGGGTCATAAAATGTTGTTAGAGTGTGTTACCGCAACTTGTTGACCCTCTCTGGTGCGATATTTGTGTATTATGCAATTATTTAGCGTGAAACGTAGGGGTCCGAAGAGAGACAGCAGCCGATTTATGACACTTCGTTTGATGCGCGGGTCGGACTAACTTTGAATCGGCAAAACTTTTTTAATAATCAAGCAATTAACATGCGGTTTAAAGCACATGAAAGGAAATTCATTTACGGAGGGAACCGTGTCAGGGATTTTTGTTTGCTCAATAGGCGACTTAATTATCTTTAATTACGTCTACTATTAACAAAATGTGAACAATAAAAGAGATAGTGAAATTCGTCACCCAGTTGGTTTGACTCACATAAAGTACATATACGTAAATTTCTCTCTATATTTTGGAATCTACCTTTCTCAATTGGCATTTTATGATTCATACATCTAAACTTTAACAAGGCTGAAGACAGTTGCCGAGGAAGTATGATAAAATAATCTTCGAATACAAACTCTGATTTAAATAAACGGTAGTTTTTAAACATTTGCTTAAAGATTGGACATCACTGTTCCACCTTTGCATGCATGTTATATGTGTTTATGTCATTTCCCTGAATAAATCGATACGTACTGATCTCGAAGTCTGGACTTAACAAGACTTTTGAAATAAAACAGACTACAGAAGGCACAGATTGACTTAACCAATAATTTGGCAAACCAAGTTCTATATCTAACATATATACTGAGTATGCAGTTTTGGTCTATCGATTATATTGGCGTGTATTGTTTTTCTTTGGGGCAGATAACGAACTTCGTAATATCAACACGTTGTGATAATTGCTTACCGGTGTCTACAAGAAGCGTACCTTGCCAAGTTTATAAAAAATTATGACGTTGTTTCACTTCGGAAACTGTGTAGCATTAGCGTATGTTCCATACGTTTTAGTATACAAATGTTCGGGATTGTAAGTATCATATTGTTCCAGCTATTTTCCAAATTATCTAAGCTGTACTATAAGTAAAAAAGATCATGATATCCTAAATTTTGACAAACGTGACACTGACAAAATTTATAAGATGTTATCGTCATGAAATCTGACTTCGCGAAGGATATGCCAATTTTAATATGAATAATTTATTTATTATATGCTTATTGTTAAATATTTGTTAGTATGATGAAAGCAAAATCTCACAATTTTCTCTACTGGTAGATGAAAGAAAGATTGAAAAATAGGGAGACAAATGGATAGTAATTATGAAATTAGGTGCTAATATGAAAAAGGCAAAGCCTCAAAGCGAGCTCGATGTACTTTTTACGTGAAATAGTATGAAATAATCGCTCATTTTTATTTCAAATGCAGTAACGAGTGCGTGTGACGTCACACGTACTGTGTTAAATATGGCTCCACCCCTGTCGTGAAATGAATAACGAGTTTTGAAAACGTTGATAAAACTTTGTTTATTTTGTTTCACTCTATAATTTTTCAAGCGAAATAAAGATTATTTAAAGTGAAATAAATGTAAAACTTAAAACGTTTGCGACATTCAAATAGCGTACTTGATTTGTTTGTTTTGCACGTGCTGTTTGGCGCTACATTGTGACGTCACATAAACAATACTTTTAAACGTCTGTACAGCGGTAACGCCGACTGAATAAAAGATATTTAGTGTTCGGATTCATTTTCTTAGTTAGACCATTCTCTTTCATTCTAGATAGTTTTCACAAACAATTCGACAAAAAATTGTTTTTATTTATCAGATTTCAAACAAAATGGCGCCTTCGATTTTCATTTTTTATACACAGCTTCCGTTATTTGGCTGGTTCCCTGTCCAATTATGGTTCCATAGACGTGCGCGGGTGACCAGTCAACACATCCGTTTTCAGTCAGAATTCCTCAGTTTTTATCGTTATCTTTAAATTCGAAAGGTTGCGATGTGTCCAATTCGGTACTTTGGACGAAAGTTTTCAAAACCATCACATAGCAGGTACTCGCGTTACCGTAAAGCTCGCTTTGCGAGCAGGCCCTTCGGGCCAGCTCGTCGAGCTCGCTACCAATGATACTGAATGCTCTTATGATGTAATATAGAGAGTTCGAAAAGCTGGCCCAAAGGGCATGCTCGCAAAGTGAGCTTTGAGGTAACGTGAGCACCAGCTAGAAAGTGATGGTTTTCAAAGCTTTTGTCCAAAGTACTGAATAATTTGACACGCACAGAATAAACAGAAGCAGTGTGTAAAATACCAAATGACATTTTTAAAAAGGATATTAAAATGTGAAATAAAAATGAACGATTATTTCATACTATTTCACAGTTAAAGAAAATCGAGGTCGCTTTGAGGCTTTGCCTTTTTCATATTAATAAGCATAATATTTTCAGTATGTAGACAAGATCTTTCTTGCACTTTTTTCTACCTTATACAGAAATGAATAAATTGGAGGTGTTCAACCTATCATCAGAGTGTTTCTGATTATCTTTATTTAGCTTAAACATAGAACCTGTCCAAGGATTCAAAATGGCGGAGCCCTACTAACTAAGGATTTTTCTCAAACTTGTTAGACTTTAAGAAATATATTTTTTTATTGATTTTAATGTGATTTCAATTAAACTACATGTAATACACGTCATACGCTTCAGTCTGAGCTGGGCCGACATTCTGCCTATTATGAAGAATTTATTTGCTTAAGACTGGACATTTGTTAAGATTTTAATATTAATGTTAAGGTATTAATATTTGATGTATATTTTTTGTTGTATAGATCAGAGTACAGTGCATTTTGGAAATGTGTCCAGGCTGGTGGAGCGTACCTGTTCACACAGCTGTGTAAAATGTTGGTGCTAGCTACATTCTTTCCAACCACAGAGGTACCAACAGGTTCATTAGACATCCTAGGGGTAAGAATATGTTTTGACGCTATTAGTTTAGTTTATACGAATTTATTTTACACCCGAAAGAATTTGAATTTATATTTTAACATTATGCATCTGGTTGTTGGTTTTAGTTGTTTTTTTTTTTTTAAATCTTCAGTTCTACATGCTTGAAGCTTTCAAATTACCATTTCTGTATGTGTATTTTAAGAGTCAGAATATGCTCACTGTATTTTATTTTATATTGTTTGATCAGCTATAACTCTTTTTATGCTAAATATCTAAAATAGACTTGTCCATCCTTCAATATAGACTATACCATAATTTTAAGGAAAATTTCAAATATGTATGGTACCGACTGCATTTGTACGTGAATAGTCCAGGCCATGATCAGATGACATGGATGTGCAGACCATTATGATCAGATGACATGGATGTGCAGACCATTATGATCAGATGACATGAATGGTGCAGACCATTATGATCAGATGACATGAATGGTGCAGACCATTATGATCAGATGACATGGGATGTGCAGACATTATGATCAGATGACATGAATGGTGCAGACCATTATGATTAGATGACATGAATGGTGCAGACCATTATGATCAGATGACATGGATGTGCAGACCATTCTGATCAGATGACATGAATGGTGCAGACCATTATGATCAGATGACATGGATGTGCAGGCCATTATGATCAGATGACATGAATGGTGCAGACCATTATGATCAGATGACATGGATGTGCAGACCATTATGATCAGATGACATGAATGGTGCAGACCATTATGATTAGATGACATGAATGGTGCAAACCATTATGATCAGATGACATGGATGTGCAGACCATTATGATCAGATGACATGAATGGTGCAGACCATTATGATCAGATGACATGGATGGTGCAGACCATTATGATTAGATGACATGGATGTGCCGGCCATTATGATCAGATGACACGGATGTGCAGACCATTATGATCAGATGACATGGATGTGCAGACCATTATGATCAGATGACACGGATGTGCCGGCCATTATGATCAGATGACACGGATGTGCCGGCCATTATGATCAGATGACACGGATGTGCCATTATGATCAGATGACATGGATGTGCCAGACCATTATGATCAGATGACATGAATGGTGCAGACCATTATGATCAGATGACATTAATGTGCAGACCATTATGATCATATGACATGAATGGTGCAGGCCATTATGATCAGATGACATGAATGGTGCAGACCTTTATGATCAGATGACATGGATGTGCAGACCATTATGATCAGATGACATTAATGTACAGACCATTATGATCAAATGACATTAATGTGCAGACCATTATGATCAGATGACATGAATAGTGCAGACCATTATGATCAGATGACATGGATGTGCAGACCATTATGATCAGATGACATGGATGTGCCGGCCATTATGATCAGATGACATGAATGGTGCAGACCATTATGATCAGATGACATGGATGTGCAGACCATTATGATCAGATGACATGGATGTGCCGGCCATTATGATCAGATGACATGAATGGTGCAGACCATTATGATCAGATGACACGGGTGTGCCGGCCATTATGATCAGATGACACGGATGTGCCGGCCATTATGATCAGATGACATGAATGGTGCAGACCATTATGATCAGATGACATGAATGGTGCAGACCATTATGATCAGATGACATGAATGGTGCAGACCATTATGATCAGATGACATGGATGGTACAGACCATTATGATCAGATGACATGAATGGTACAGACCATTATGATTAGATGACATGAATGGTGCAAACCATTATGATCAGATGACATGGATGTGCAGACCATTATGATCAGATGACATGGATGTGCAGACCATTATGATTAGATGACATGAATGGTACAGACCATTATGATCAGATGACATGAATGGTGCAGACCATTATGATCAGATGACATGGATGTGCCGGACATTATGATCAGATGACATGGATGTGCCAGCCATTATGATCAGATGACATGGATGTGCCAGCTGATGTTTGTCTGCACTGGTCTCATAGGTACAATGTTAATTCATTTACCATGAACACTGTTAAGGTTAAATTTAACTATATGTACATTTAATGATTTCATAATGTTTTATTGTATTACATTATTTTCCTCTTCTATTTTAGGAGCTGATGAAATGCACAGTGGATTTAGCAGATCTGATTGGTCTATATTTTGTAATGTCAAAGACAGCAGGCAAAGGTCAGCTCAAGTTTATGATAGCAGGGCTTGGTTGGGCGACAGCTGAACTTGTGATGACAAGGTACATGTAAAATTGTTTATTGATCTAATTTAAATTGAATATAAATAGTTGAAAAGTATCAAACAAGCTGAATTAAATTCACCCAACTTTTCACTTTTCATATACCTGTACATGTTATATGATGTGTTTTGTTAATTAAAAAACAGTTAAAGAATTTGGTTTTTAGCTTATAGTTGCTTTAGTATAAAACTTAACCAAGGGTTTAAAGACATTGAAGGTATTCCCATGAAACTTTTTGCATGTCTACTGGATTCAAAGTTGAGGTCAGAATTCACAAACCATAACTCTAGCATTGATTTGTACTAAATTATTACCCACTTCACATGTTCAATATTTACTTATAGTATTTACTCTTTTAGCTGAAGATTTTGTTTTATATTTAAATTCAAAAGCTGTTGTTTACAGTGTTAACATTGTGTATATTAATGATAAGGCTTTTTCATGATAAATTATCAATTAATTCATCCTTCTAAAATGTTAAAAACCTCCTAGATTTTTTTTTTCAAAATGAAAATCTTATATTTTACCAATCATACTTAAAATGTAGAATTCATGATACAGTCTTTGATATAAAGTGATATCAGTATTTTTAGATGGTCTTTTTCAAACAAAAAGTCCAGCTACTATGATAACTGCACCATAGTCATCATTGCATTGTCATGCAAAAACTTTACTGTAACCCATTATTCAAAATTTAAAAAGTTATCAACATGAAACTTGGAATACTTGCTTATCTCAGCAAGGTGCAGTTGTTAGACAAGGGGCATCTATTGTAATTATGAAAGCTATAATTTTGGAATTATGCCCTTTTTAACTTAGATTTTTTTTCAAAAATTGTTATTTTAACATATAAGCATTATCATTACATGTGGTGCTTTGTTAAATGTTGTAAATGGTGTATTTACAGATTTTTACCATTGTGGGTTGGTGCTAGAGGTGTTGAATTTGATTGGAAATACATTCAAATGAGTTTTGATTCGAACATTAGTTTGGTAAGTAAAAATGAAATATTTACAAAATAAATGAAATATTGATTTAAATTTCTGCTAAATAGTTTTTAAATACAAAGTAGAGAAAAAGAAAATAAGGTTCTACTATCTGGCCTATTAACATTCAGTTATAGCGAGATTTAATAATACTGTACCGTTGTCTTTAAAACATGTGCAGTTAGTTATAGAATAAAGTAACAAATACTGGATGAGTCAGAATAAAGAGAGGTTTTATTTCTGTGGTATATAGTAATAAATTAATGTACTATAAAGTTTAGTGGAGAGCACATCAGACTAGGAATCAAAGGATTACTGGTTTTGACGGTTTTAAACTCGGTCTTGGGCTAGCTGTTGTTTCCTCATGCAAAAATGTTTACACTCATTCTAAGGACTGATTAGTTTAAGGAAAGGAAATGATAGTTTGTCTATCAGTCTATCAGTTAAGCTTAAGAACATTATACTTAATCAAACTAAAATGCATTTTGGTTTATACTATACATAATTTATTTGGTTTATACTGTACACAATCTGTGTCAGGAACCAACCAGTACTGAGCAATGAGTGTAAAATTTCTTGTTCAAGAAACAACAACTTGCCCTTGGTGGGGTTTAAACCCGTGCGGCTAGCGATCATCAGATTACTAGTCTGATGTGTTAACCACTCGGCCATGCCACCACTATATTAAATTTTGGATGTACAATTACACCCTGCGGGTTAGCTAAGTGGAGCAAACAATAACTTACTGTTTATGTATTTTATTTTATGAAATATTTCAGGTACATCATATTTGTACAGCAATGTTGGTATGGTTATATAACAGGAATGATCTTAATAAGTCATTTGTACCTGTTGTGATGGCTTTATTAGGATTGAGCTGTTACAGACCACTAATTGTAGAGTAAGTTACTTCAATTAACATGTTTAGTGTTTACTTTGCTTACGCACACCGAACAATTAACCTTTAATTCTTTTCACAATTTTCATCGCCGATAACAACTTCAAAAACCTAATCGTATCATGTTTATGTTTGTTTAAAACTATGGAATGAAAGAGATAATGATAGCAGCAACACCTCTAAAAAAAACTTATTGAAAGTTTTCTGTTCAATATTTTGTTGTTTTAATCCTCCAGTTATGACATTTAAGGTGTGAAATTAAGAAATTATCGACAATATTATTGATCATTTCCGGGTTTGATACAAAGTAACCTTGACCTCTGCCGTAAATAGGATGTCGTTAAATGTCGTAAAACTAGGACAACTGTTGTTTACATCACGTGTCAAAAAGATTTCAGCAATATACATGCCTGTCAATATCAAGGTGAGAAAGTGCCTGCGGTCGTATTTATGGGTTTCCAAATGTACAGAATTTACGAAATGGGACTGAATTTACTGGTCGTATTACGGAATAACGGGGTGGTCTCAAAATCGGGGTTAGCGACCATTAAAATAAATAATAAAAAAATCGGGTCATTAAAAAATCGTTCGTATTAGCGGGTTGGTCTCGAAAACGGGGTGGTCGTAAAGCGGGTTTTTACTGTACTATGTGCATATTTTAACATTGACAACGTTATTAATGAATTATAAAATATCTTTGGAAGTTTTAATTTTAATTGTGACAATCTGTTGGTAAATAGTTTAATCATAATTAAATTGATTAATTTTTGCCAGTGACAAGAAATTTCAAGGCAGAATGAAATTTATGTTTTAGGCATTTAACAAGTATTTTTTGAAAAAGGTCAAACTGTGGTTTAACAAAGTATGCCAGTTGTTTAATGTTGGCAATTATGGCCCTTTGAATAATTTCCATTTATTAGTGTATGATTGCATTTTCTGTAAACATACACTTATTGATCTCACCTTAACATGTGGTTGAGGTTAAACAAAAAGTGAGGTCATTATTTTTGTTTAGGGCCAACTAAGACAGGCTTGCCAAGTTGCCTTCAGACTTTCCCATTATCATCCAAGCATATGTGCTTCATTTAGATTGAGTGTGTTTGCCATAGTGCCTTCTCCTGGTGTTCCTGATTTTTACATGTCATCTTGGCTTAAAAGGAGATGAACCAAAATATGTAGTTATGACACTTTTGTCTTTAAATATCTTTGGATTAATCTTTTGCAGGATTTTAACACATGCAGTGGGACTTGGTTCATGGACTCTACTGGTAGCTAAAGCTTTCTTTACCGGACTAGTGGGTACTATAGCAGTACAGATGTACCTGGGCATGGCAACACAGGCTGTCAACTCATATTATTGATAGGGTAATTTTTGGAGGAAAATTGTCACCAAACACTTGCGTTGTTATTATGATTATGAAAGACAGAACAATATGGAAAGGAGGAAACAAAACATTGCTTTTAGCTTAGCATGAAAAAGAAGATTGAATTGTCACCCTATGTTCATATGATTCAATGCAATAAAATGTGTTTTGCAGGGGATTTTGTAAGAAAAAAGTGTTATTCAGTTGTATCTGAGATTTTGTCAAATTGAAAAATATAAATAAGATTTTCAAAATGTATGTTGTAGTTTTGTACAATGGTGTGGTTTTGAATTTTTTTTTTCTTGTCAATTATTTTATGAACAAATTCATGATGAAAATTATTTGTGAAAATAAGCTTTAAATTCAAATTATAACTTATAATTATCAGTGAATATAAATCGAGAGATTTGGTAGATAGATCTTTAGTTTGTAAAAATGAAATTGTACCTTCATGTCCAAACATTATATTAAAATTGTGAAAGTCTCTATACATTATTTGGATTGTTTTATGTATTTTCCTTTTATACATTTTTCTTTCACTTTTGTAAATTTTATTTCTAGCAGTATCTACATGTACTTCATATGTCAAATATAAACTGGAGAGTAAAACTCATTCATTATTTATTGTAAAATAAACAATGAAAATAATAAAAAAGTTTCATTATTTATTATTATGTTGTTTTCAAGTTTTTACAAGCTGACAGATGAAATTGGTGTTTGCTTGTCTACTGATACTATCTGAGGAATCTGGTTGCATCTTGGTCACAGTGTATGTAAAGCAGGATATCGAAGTAAAGTTTGACAGATCCCTACTCTGACCTTTCATTTGAACAATAGATTTAACCACAAACATTGACATGTGCTCTTCAGTTAACAAATGTGGTGAAATTTTTATTGTATCCACCAAGGTGATTATTAGAATTAGACAGGTCAAGGATCTATGCTTTCAGGGACTCTTGTGACCAGAGTTGTAAACCTTGAATTAACTAATACTTGATGGAATCCAAAATGTTTACTCATTAACTTGGAGTAATCTAAGGGATTCCGATGAAACTTATTCACAATGTATATTGCCTTCGAATCTCATCCAGATTTTACAAGTCCATCTTTCAATCTGAACAAAACAATTGTTTAAAAGGGAAATTTTCAAATGTGCCAGCTGACCTTGCTCTGCACTGAGCTCATTAATAGGATCTGTTTCTGCCAGCAGACTTGAGGCAGCCTTGTGTTAATAGATTTCAAGCTCAAGTTTAAATATGGGTCATCTGGAGTCAAAAACTAGGTCATGCAGCCCAAATATGGAAAAACTTCGTTTACACTATAGAGGCTTGTGTTTTGGTCATAAAGTCCAGTAAATTGGTGAAAAATGCTATTTAGATTAGTTTTGGCTAAGTTTGAATATGGGTCACCATGGGTCAAAAGCCAGGTCATACTGAAAATATGGGAAACCTTGTTAACACTAGAGGTAACATATTCAGCTTATATTATCCTGAAAATATGTCAGAAAAGTTGTTTAAACTACTTCTAGCACAAGTTCAAATATGGGTCACCTGGGGTCAAAATCTAGGTCACATAGCCCAAAGATGGAAAAACCTTATTTACACTCGAGAGGTTACATTTTCAACTTGAATATCCTGGAATTTATTCAGAAAGGTTGTTTTGATAATTTCTAGCTCATGTTGGAATATGGGTCATCCGGAGTAAAATATATGTCACACAGACCAAATCTGGAAAAACATATAACTCAAAAGGATACATTTTAAGCTCAAATGTCTTGACAATTTGTCAGAAAGGTTGCAGGTGAGCGATATAAGGGCCATTATGGCCCTCTTGTTATCAAAACTCAACAACTTATTTGTTTCCTCATGTTTTAATTCATTTAACAAACATTAAATTATATATCTTATCTAAATAGAGATATTTCTAACACAAAAATAAATTATCATTAATATCACATCAGGATAATATAAAGTAATAAATAGTTATCATCTAACTGAAAACATGATCAATTCTGTATATATATTCTATAAATAAATCCCTGTAGATATCCCCTACAAGTATAGATCTTACTTTGGCACATTTTTTATTTCATGTCGAAATTTATGCTAATATCTTGTATTAATTAGACCTTACAAGCAGGTCATTTGAATTATGATTATTGCTTACATTTTTAATGAAACAATTATTTTCATTCTCTAGAAGCATATAAAGAATTTAAAAAAAATATGTTATTTTTTGGAATAGATGGGTTTTTGGTTCATTTGGAATGTGCATATTGCATATATTTTGGTTCATTTGAAATGTGCATATTGCATATATATCATTGTCAAACAAGAGTTGTTTCATTTTAAAGTGGCATGCCTATAAGTATATTAAAATAGTTTATATAACAAATTGAAATAAGCCTATATTTACACATTTTCTATAAAATAAGGATGATGGCTCTAAAACGAGATAATAACTTATTTTTTCTTCTTGACAGTGTTCTTCATTAAGGCATTGGATAATTTTTGAACAAACATTTGTTACTAAAGATAAAGTGTTTGGTCTCCTATATTTTGCAAGTAAAATATATTTACCCCCAAGACATTGAAATAATTCATTAGAATAGCAATTAGATTTGTTTCTTTCAATTATAAAAATAGAAGTATTCAATATTTTTCTTCACCATAATACCACTTTATACCTTTAAAGGCATGCCCCTTTAAAATAAAACTGAAGACAATGAACATTTCAGCAGTAAATTAAAGCAATAATAAATTATTCAGCAATAAAAATATCAGCAGTCCCTGTAAATTAATTTTTTAAACAATAAAATATTCAGCAGTAACAATAGACAGATCTTAACAAAATCAACATTAACAATTTATTATTATGCACATGTACATGTAACAGATTGGATACTTTCTTTTAGATCTTGTAAATTGTTGAAATTAAGAAATCTTAAATATAATTCTTTTTTTTTCCCCGAAAGATCATTCATACATTAAAATTCATTATAATAGATGTACCACATGCATGTATTTAAAATAAAAGACATTGTTATAACTTTCACAACAAAAACTATGAAAACATGACAATTATATCATAAGAAAATATCAAAATCATAAGTTTTTTATCTGTAAATGAATTCAATGTCAACTTTAATACTGTAGACCTAAGTGAAGTGAAAACTAAAACTATATATGAAAAATGTTTTGGAATGTGACTTTTTATGAGCATAATTATATAGAAACAAATTGGACGGATATTTGCCATTTTTGTGGATTATCAAATAACTATAATAAAGTGAATGTCAAAATCAGCACAGCAAAAAGCTCCTCGTGTAAACCTTGGCAGTTGTCCTTATAGCACAGTATCCTATATACACAATAGATATGGTATTCATATTTGTATCAACATCAAGTCAAGATCAAAATATGATACAGTCACATTCGAATAACAATAGATGATGATTAACTTACAATATTTGTCAATATAACGTCAAATCTCTCCTATGATTAAACACAAGTAAATCGACTTTCAAAAAAGAAAAGACACACTCTTAACCAATTAGTCAATTATGTTGAACATATTCAATTATCTGCTCATAAACAATACAATCAAACGAACCCTGAACAGTTCCAAGAATAACCACATAAAATCAGTTATAAATCAAGTTTGTTTTATTGTTGATCAGTTTCAGTTTGTTTTTGAGGAGTTCCCTCCCTTCGTGCCTCTTTCTGACTTGCCGGAGTTTCTGCTCTGTTTTCATTTCTATCTGTGTCTTGAGCCCCATCCTCTGTTTCTATCTCCACTTGAGTTAGAGGTTCCTCATGAGCTTGTGAGAAAGGTCTTGTTTCATCTTCTGCATCAATATCACCGCTTACTTTTTTCGAGGCTTGTGAAAGTCTTCCTCGAGATCCTTTGGAGCCTCGAGACATGCGTCCTCCTGGACTTTGTCTGTCTTGTTTTGTTTCTGTTTGTTCTTTTGATTTTTCTTTATCATCATCTGGGAATGCTTGTAATGTAGGTGTTCTATCACCCTTTGGTGGTGGTGTTTTTCTTGGTGATATTTTTGGCGGGGTTGTTTTTGGTGGTGGCGTGCGAGATGGTGTTTTTCTCGTGGGAGTTTTTCTGTCAGGTGTTTTTCTAGTAGGTGTTTTTCTATCAGCTGGTGATCTTTTACCTTCCTTTGACTTGGCTGAGTCTGGTTCCTCAGCCATGGGTGGTTCTCGTAATAAACCAAGTCCTGGTGGAAGTGGTGGAGCTTTTGGACTTAAAGGCCTGAAAGAAAGTAAATTTTTTTATAAGTTGTCTGCCATGATTTACACACACAAAACAAAGAAGAGATGATTTGCAAAGATACATGTATTTCTATGAAAGAAATTTCGAAAAAAATAGGAAAGCTGCTGAGCAAACCTATAGAATGATTATCAAGGTCTAACAAATTTTCTTTTATATACACTGATTTATTGATTTCCAAACTTGTTTACGACAAAATCCCTATAATTTAGCTCAAATTTCAAGTCAAGTTTTAAAGAAATCAATGCGTACCTATATGATAACTGGGATGGTTCTGAGGGACCAACATCTTCAGTATCAGACTCGTCTGGTTCAAGTTCCTCAAGCTCTTCGTCACCTTCTTCAGACTCCTCCTCGGACTCTTCAGTCGGCATCATAGTGGTTGCTCGGAGGTTCATTAAGTACGAGCGTGACTTCTTGACGCCATCTTCAGGTAGACCAGCATCAAGCATGAGAGCTGTTCTACTGAGGTGCCATGTGTCAGTAGGCGGTGGACAGTTTAATTGTAACTGTACTACCTCATATTGCCTGCTCTGAAAACAGAAAATGAACTCCATGTTGTATTCCTTATTATAATATGTCAATATTTATAGGCTTAAAATAAAACAAGAGTAACATTTAAAGACGATGTGAACTCTAAATTGAACTTCTTGGTACTGCTCATCAAGGAGCAAGTATCTGTGAAATTTGAAGCTTGTTGATGTATTGAAGGACTTCTGTTTTAAGGTTTGGGTTAATATTTTGATGTTATGTTGACCTTAACACAGGCAAATTCTATGTAATACAATTACAGCTCGGACAGGTAAAGGGTTAATAAAGTGCTGCAGTAAAATCTAGATATGAATAATAACAATAGACAGTTTCTAATGCAAAACAGAACAAGTCTATACATACAAATCGCTAAAGTTTGCATAGTCTTTTCCTGTCAGTATTCAGTTATCATACCATCTACATTAATATTGAATAAATATATAAAGTATCAACCTAATGAAACCAAGCTTTTAAGGAAAATAAAAAGATGACTTCACATACCCTATTCATGTATACGGGACAGCTGTAAATTTTCTTGTTTCTATTTTCCTGTGTCTCTGGGTCAGGTGATTCTGCACGCAGTACTGGCTTTAGGTATATACTTGGTATGTTGAATAGTGCAGAGCTAAAATTATTATAAAAAATACATGAAATAGGTATAAGACAAACAAAGCTACCCAAATATTGTTTTGAGCTAGTAAATACATGTAGTACAGAGGGGCCATCAAGCTCTTCCTTCATTAATGAAGCTAAATGGAAAGTTTCTACACAATGTTAACATGTACCCTGACTTGCAAGTAAAAGCACAAGTTACTTTCGATCACTGTACCTTACTTGGGAGCCTATATATATCTAAACTTGTACCTTACTTGTGATAACAGGAAGTAGACTTGTTTATATACTGTGGTTAATATGCTGAGGCTATAACAAATCAAACACTGTTATATTTTCATCTACTTATTGAAAGCCCCAAAACTCACTATAGATAATTCAAAATTCAAAAAAGGGGGGGATATGTCCATTTTAAAAATACAGCAGTGTAAGAGTTAAAATTAAAACTGACAATGTCTTTGTCACAGATAAACTTTACCCTTACCACACTAAAAACTTTAATTGGACTTGTTCTTATTTTAATCTGGACAAAACCATTCATCTTTTTCAAATTATGTATTGATTACATTCAATGAAGACTATGATCAGACAGTACAGATGTGCTGAATGACCTTGGTCTGCACTTGTCACATGTTTCTACCAGAAGACTAAGGTTTGAAACCCTGCCATATGAGATATAAACCATGTACCTGGCATCATGTAGACAATCATTATCGTAGTCCCAGGATGCACCTTGTAGATATACTGATGTTATAAACATTCCACCTTCATCTATATCATATTCTGCTGTATTGTCTGTATCCAAGACAACACACTCAAACACAATCTAGTCATTAAAATAAGAAATATTCATAAATTATAACAGTATATGTACATATAATCACTTGGTAAAAAGATATTACCTGCATAATACAATTTAATACATCTTTAACACTTTGGATTATGTGTGTGTGTGCTTTACATATCATTTATATAAACTAATATAAAATTCAAGCAGGTTTTTTTTGAAATTTCTTATATACCCTTTATATCACATTTGACTACCATATAACAATAATATTGCCAATACTATTCTCAAGACATGCTTATGACACTCCCTAAACCCTAGGAAAAGGCTCATTCACACAGCCTGCAAATCCATGCAGTCAAAGGAGACTTCATAATGTTGCAAACTTTAGGTTTTTGTTGTAAAAATCCTTTTAAATGCCAATGGTCAGTCTTCAATCAAAGCGGCCTAACTCCATTACACAAATTAAGCTTGTTAAAGGTTAAACAATCTAAGTGAAGTGTAAATCATATCTCACAAATGAATATCATACTTACATCATCAATATTACACTGGCTAACCACTGCTTTCTCTTGTTTAATTGATGCTAACAAAGCCTCTGGGTTGACGAGACCTCCCAACCAGATTTTGGTCAGTCTACCGTGACCAATGACAGGATTTTCTCCCATCTGACCGTCGGAAAATGTTGGCACCATTCCGTATTTAACAAATGACTGTAACTGGTCATATCTCTTCTGCATGTCTACAAAAATAATAATCATAACATAACATGTCACCTATAGTATTTCAGAATATGTGATGTAAATACAATGAAGATAGAAGTTGACAACTTGGCAATTTCAGAATTGGTAATGAAAATAGGTAAAAGGTAACAATTTGGCAATTTTAGAATTTGTGATGACTTCAGATAAAAATTGATAGACTGGTATTTTCAGAATTTATGATATAAATAGGTAGATGTTGACAATTTGGCAATTGGAAATTTTAGAATTTTTTTATGACTCTAGACCTAAGTAATTTCAGAATTTGTGATGTCTATAAAAATTTATAGTTTGGTAATTGGAAAATTCATGATTTCTATAGATACAGGCTGACAACTTGGCAAATTTTGGAATTTTAGATGTCTATAAAAATTTATATAGAGGATATTTGTTTAGTTCAGTGTAAGATCGGAATATATTTCACCGAGTGAGCACCAAAAGGTATATTTCACGAGTGGCGCAGCCACAAGTGAAATGTGAACTTTTGGTGTTCACAAGGTGAAATATATTTCGATCTTACACTAAACTAAACAAATTTTCTTTTTATTATATGCAAAGAAACGTTTTAAAAAGACATTAAACCTAATACTGAATGAAAAGCGCGCCAAATAATAATACAATGTGACGTCATTTATAACGTCACGTCATTAAGTTGGTACCCAGTTCTGTGCACGCTGGTATTTCACTGAAACAACGTAAGGGGCTTAAATTCAAAACAGTGAAATTATAAAAGTGGTAATTTCACTGTTTCAAACAGTGAAATTACCAGTTTTAAATCACTGATATATTTCTATAAACCACCGAAAAGCATGTAATAAAGTTTGGTAATTGGAAAATTCATTATTTCTATAAATACAGGCTGACAACTTGGCAAATTTTGTAATATTTGATGTCTATAATACAAGAGAAATACTTTGGTAAAAATTTACATTACTCAAGAAAATATCAAGAGAGTTAACCTAAGGCAGAAAATCAGATCAACATTTTCATAACTTACCTTGTAACCAGGAAACAAGTGAGTGTGTACATGGTTGAGAGTTAGGATGAACCCAGGACACTGGTACATGTTCTTCCTGTAAACTGAGTACAGTGGTCATGTATACATTAGGCAGAGCTTCTTGACCGCCCATAAGTCTTTCCTGTAAACTGTTAATCTGTTCTCTTATATGACAGAGTATTGAGTTCAGCCATAAACATTCCTAGAATAGAAAATATGTCATTAATTATTACCTTCTAATACAATGAGATATAGAGGATATTTGTTTAGTTCAGTGTAAGATTGGAATATATTTCACTGAGTGAGCACCAAAAGGTATATTTCACGAGTGGCGCAGCCACGAGTGAATTATGAACTTTTGGTGTTCACAAGATGAATTATATTTGGATCTTACACTAAACTTAACAAATTTTCTTTTTATTATATGTAAATTAAATGTTTTAAAAAGACATTTAACCTAATACTGAATGTAAAGCACGCCAAATAATAATACAACGTGACGTCATTTACGACGTCACGTTATTAAGTTGGTACCCAGTACTGTGAACGCTATTATTTCACTGAAACAACGTAATGGGCTTAAATTCAAAACAGTGAAATTATCAAAGTGGTAATTTCACTGTTTCAAACAGTGAAATTACCAGTTTTATATCACTGATATATTTCTATAAACCACCGAAAAGCATGTAATAAATTGACTGAATTTGGAGATGGTAAGGTGATAATTGAAAAGTTCATGCGATAAGTCACAGCTTGTAATATATTGTACATAGTTGTCTTATGAAAAAATAATCTTACAAGGAAAATTAAATATCTAATTTTATGTCGACTTAAATGATTAATTGCTTATTTTGATTTAACATGTACATGCATTTGTATTAGCCTCCACATTTTTTTATAAATTTTACATGGTTCTTTAAATTTTCTTGAATTCAATACAGTAGAAGCACCTCTAGATCATTCATTTCAATAATATAACAATCAGATCCTGAAATACAGGTATGTCCATTAATAGCCAAGGGGGAGAAATATTACTAAGATACAGGAACCAGCAATCAAACAAACCTGTAATAGGACATAACCGATGGTTTCTGGCATCATTGTGCTTGAAGCAGTTGCTATGGAGATCACACTGGGACAATGGTATGGGAAGTTGTAATCCTGTTGTACAGAATCTGGTATCTGGCCAAGCTCCAACAAGGGAGGTAAATCTTCAAGGCAGATATCCAGGGAGGATCTGAGACGTTTAAGATTTACAACACCTGAATTGCTTGTGGAAACATCTCCCGCTTCCATGTTTTGTGTCTCGAACATGTGGTCCATGTTAGAAATAAACTCTGTTGAGCTGAGAGAAAGAAGAATGGCATAAATGAACTCATAATGTATAAAAGGATACTTACTAATCTCATGTATCATAAATAAATTGTTCCTGGTTTTTTGTCATGTTCTGACATACAAATATATCAATACCAACATTTTTGGTGGAAAATTTCTGTGTAATTATTTAACCTAAAAATGCTTATCATTGTGAATGGACTTGTCTATCTTTCAATCTGGGCTAAACCAGTCATCATTTCTACAGAAAATTGCAAAAAATGAACTGCCTGAGTAGCAAACAGTGCAGACCATGACCAGATGGCATGGATTAACTGCCGGATCTTGATCTGCACTGGTTGCATGGGTGGAATCATTTGTTGCCTGCAGGCAACAAGTTAAGGAGTTTACCTAATATCAGTTAATTACTATGTTTTCTCTATCTTACACTAGCAAGATCAATTGAAAAAGATTAATATATAAAATAACAGACCTAGTTACAATCAAGTTTTATCAAAAACAAATTATTCAAGTCAACTTTTCGAGCACAGATTGGATTACTAACTCACCTGGCAACACAGGCCTCTTTCTCCACGCTGGTGTGAAGTTGTAAAGCAGACATGGTAAATTCTTCATCTACATTCTTCTCATACCACCAGGCATATTCACTTGGCTCTGTAACATAATATCTTCCAATTTATTCACACTTATCACGCTAAATATTTCAAATTGACTTGTCCATCTTTCAATCTGGGCAAAACCATTTATTATCTTTAGGGAACATTTCAAAATACATGTATGTAATAACTGAATAGCGAATAGTGCAAGCCATGGTTTGCACTGGCTGCACGGGTGGAATCAGCTGCTGTCAGCCGTGAGGCTATTGGCTAATGTACACTATACTCTAGGGAAAAAACAAGTTCTCTCAGTGTTCACATGGTTTTAAATGTTTATTTTTTTTTATTTTCTTTTTAGTTCCGTTTAAGTCAAACCAACACCTAATATTATATGGTGACCAGATTATATGGTGACTATATAAAGATGCAGCTGTATTGTAGCAACTTTCATCGTTTTCCATGGCCCATATGGTCTGTTCCAAAACAAATTGAACATGGAAACTTGAATAAACTTATTGGACACAAGTACACCTAAGATAACGTAAATGACTACAAGGAACTTACCAACATTAGCTGGGGGTGTAGGGATTGCGACGGTACCAAGGACAAGTGTTCCGGAGGAGTCAGTGTACACATTATGTAGAACATTTCTGACTAGAGCCTTCACGTATTCCTGATCAAACTCACTATATGCTGTATTCTCATATACCACCTATACAAATAAACATTCTCTTATATAACTGTGGTGATAATCTATAGCCTATAATTTACATTAGAAATTTCTTGTTTAAAAGAACTCCACTGAGATCCTTAATTCAACCTAAAAATATAACATTTTCTTACATTAGAACTACTGACTTGTTTGGTGAAGAGTTAGTCTGAAATATGTTTCATTCACATTAATGGCAGGTACATGCAAAACCTCCAAATTTGTATAATCTATTTTTTTCACATAACCATGCAGATTTTGCGACTACATAAAAATGGTATTTGCGATTAAAGACACGTTAAATGTAAGTGTTACACTATAGGCATGTCAAAAATTATTCTTTAGCAGTTTAAACAGTCTTTATTTTGGGTATGTGATAAATAGAATATTTAATTTGGGTAAGTTCATTACTGAATTTATTGAACTTCTTGAATAAAATAATATTTGGCTCCTCAGAGGCTCGCATAATATAATTTTATTCAACTGTTCATTAAGTTCAGTATTGAACCTACACTCATTCAATATATTCTATTTCATTTGAAAAAAAGAGAGTCAAAATGAATGTTTTACTGCATAAACATATACTACACAAACCTGAGTAACAAGCTGAGTTAACTTCTCCTTGTTTGGTTCCCCTCCATCTTCATCAGTTGGTCTCAACATTCTGCTGAGAACCAGCAACATAGCTTGTCCGGTCTGAACTTCCCGGAATGGATAATACTGACTGAGTCCCTGGGCACCAAACAGTTGCCTAGCAACAAGCATGGCTTGTATAACAGCTATAGAGAAGGCAATGTTCCTGATATTCTGGGGCTCCTGTAAGACTAACTCCCAAACCTTTGTTGGCACCTGTTTCATTGTTGACACAATGGCTGAAATGAAAACAATATGAATATACAAGAACATTGTATATATTAAATCAGTGAAACAAAATCAGTATCTGCTATTGAATCTACTTTTTTTATTTAACTGTAATATTATCATTATGCCCAATACAAAGCTTTTCAACAACTTTTCTGTCAAGAATTTATGTATAAAATGTTAATGTTCCTTCTGCGTCAAAAAATACATCATCTTCCTATTCCAGGAACAAACATCTCACCCTTCATTTTACAACTACATTTTAATGTCAGGCAAGAACAAAATCATTTTAGACACTGACCACATCATTTAATAAAACAAAGATAATTCAAGAGTTTGGACTCATATGAACATAGAAATAAGCAGAGTTTAAGATACCCACCAGTATGTAGATATGTTTGTGGAGACTTGTAGTTGATGGCAAGTGGAGCTTCCCCACCGTCTCCACCAGATTCAGTATTTGTCTCAGCCACGTCAGGATTTAGGATATCCATGGTCATATGGTTCCAGGCCACCTTGTGAAGATTGAGAATCAGGAAGTTTGGTATGCTGGCGCTCGGCTCACTCGTGATCCAAACACAGAATTTACTCGTCTTCTGGCGGTCCTCTAGATTATTTGCTATAAATAGACATTGAAGGGTTATAAAATAAGACAGAATGCTCAAACATAATCTCAATTACATAAAATTGTGAAGAGTAGTAAACTAACTGACACTTATCTTACAAAATATTAACCCTTAACCTGCTGTCATTTTGTATACATGTATTTGATTTGACCTGCTTTGAATTTGGAACAGTCCATTTAAAGTTCAAGGGATTTCAATAGCAAAATATCAAAACTGATAGAGACTTGACAGATTTCATGGAGGTGGCAAAAGCGAATTACTTTCAGTTCCAGCCGGTTAAGAGAAAAGTCAAGAGATTTTTCAATTTCAAGCTTATATTTTCTGTTGATACAAGTTCACAACCTGTAGTCTTGATGAAAACAATTTCATATAAACAAGAAATGTTCAAATTAATGCAAACGGTGAAACACTAATATACATGTTTGTAACAAATTCATACTTCTTGGTGAAAACAATTTCGTATAAACAAGAAACATTTAAATTAATACAAAGGGGAAAACACTAAACATGTTTATAACAAATTCATAATGAAAAGCAGACACTCCTGTGCATAAACATCTGAAATATTGTTTAATACTCTAAACTTTCATCAAACTCTTATTTATTGTCATAAAATAGTAAAACATACAAACCTCTCAACTTCTCTCTGCTCCTGTTTACACGGATGAGATGTTTTTTAAGCTGGTTACAGAATTTTTCAGGAGCTAAATGTAGGTCTTCAATAACGACCCAGCCGTCGTTCTTCTCAGCAGTGTCTATAGCTTCCTCTACTAGCACCTCACTACCTTCACCAATACGTACATGTTCTACATTCACGTTCTCACTCTGTTAAAGAATTGGTCAAAATATTACTGTATTTAATTGCAATAAAGACTTCTGTTAAAGAGATCATATTTACACTATAATCAGCTTTTTCAATTTGTTGTTTTGAAGAAAAACAACATTCAGCCAATTAATACAAAAATACAAACATTGCAAAAACAGTTTTATTAAACAAAAACATATTTCACTATTCCAATAACAGATCTTTTTTTTGTTTTGTTGACACTATAAAGATCATATGGCAACTTTATTGCTTCATTGTTTGGGGAAGACCTCAGTTGCCCCTTTGTTCATTATTTCAGGCACAAGCGGGCACCTGAGTAGAACCACCGACCTTCCATGAGCTAGCTGAATAGCTTCCTCACATGAAATAATACAAGGCCCCTGACTGGATTTGAACCCACAGCTGTGAGGGACTTGAACAGTTACAGACATGTGATGTTGTGGCTATAACACATGTCATATTAAAACAAGCAATTATCATAGTATTGCAAGCAATCCATAAGTCCCCTACCGGTAAGAGCCCAAGCAACATTCTGAAGGGCCATTCACTTAGGTTCCTATTTTAAGTAAATTTGTTGAAAAAGTTCTTTAAAAGTGATCACAGGAAACAGTTTTTATGTACAGACAGACGGACTGAAAGACACTCTAAAGTTACTTTTTAAACATCCCTGTTATCAAAATATAACATTTCTAAAATCCTATCATGATTGTAGAAGTTGGAGTAAAAATTACCAATTTCTCAAAAAAAAGTCTAAGTTCAAAAGGGGCATAATTCTGGAAATAGTCTTGCTAGAGTATTGAACACTCACAAAATTTAATGTTGAGTGATAATAAGAAACATTTATATGAAGTTTGAAGTAGATACATTCAGAAAAAGAAGTTATTAAAAAAAAAACAATGTTTTTTTCATGAAAATTTAAAGTTCAAGGGAGGTAATTCTGAAAAATTCTGTGCTAGAGTTGTAAACCTTGTCACATATGATGTGGTTGATGACAAGCAACTTATATTTTAAGTTTGAAGAAAATACCTTAAGAAATAAATAACTTATAGTGAGAAAACTTAAAAACTAGAACCAGAAATCTTGAAATTCAGTCTATTTGTTGCCATAGCAACCAGAATTTTCAACATAGGAAGATAAGAAAAGGATGTGCATAATTTCCATACTGCCATCTACCCATATGTCAAGTTTCATAAACATATTTTCAGTACTTTTTGTGTTATCACTGGATCCAGGTTATGTGTAAAATTTGCCATATTTTCAGTCTATTTGTTGCCATAGCAACCAGAATTTTCAACATAGGAAGAAAAGAAAAAGACGTGCATAATCTCCATACTGCCATCTATCCATATAACAAGTTTCATTAAAATATTATCAGTACTTTTTGCGTTATCGCGGGATCCAGTTTTGTGGACGGACGGACTGACGGACGGACAGACGGACGTTCTCACAGGACAGTAATTATGTGGCTACTCTATTGTTCTCTCTATTGTTCTTTTTAGCCACGCAAAAGAAAATAGCCACATAAAAGCATTACGGAATGAATGACATCAAAGAGAAAGAACAGTTACCTATTGTCCCTCTAGCCACATAATTACTCTCCTGTGAGTGCGGACGGACTGACGGACGGACGGACAGACGGACGGAGGGTAAACCTAAAGTCCCCTCCGGTAAACCGGTAGGGGACTAAAAAGAGAAGATACAAAAGTTCAGTTGACATCCTTGACAAATCAAACATATATGGCATATAGCTTTAGTAATATACATAAAGAAGTCATAATTTGGTGCAAGTATTTCAAGGTTAAATACAATACCTTAGCAAGTTTGAAGAGCACATCTACTGGTGGATGAGTCATCTTTAACCTGGTTACAGGCTGTGATTTTATAGAAGACAAACTTTCTGGTAGTAGTAAGAGAACTCCAAGATGACGGCGAGAGTCTCGTAGTGTGTCTTGTAGATTAAACTCTATCTGATCTGTAAAAATAATATAGAATCAATTATCACCTGCATTAAAATTATTACAAGCCTTTTATACTATGCTGCAATCAATCGTATCTGAAGCAATAGAATGATCATTCAAGATTTGATACTTCGATTTTTGTTGTTGTTAAATTGTTCCAAAATATTAACATGTTACAATTGCTCCAAAATATTACCAATTAGCAAGACACGAAATTGCATTTTTTTAAATTCTGAAAAATATTGTTTTAAAGTTTAGTTTATACCAATTTATTTTAGTTTGATTGTGTCAGAAGCTATAACTTATTGAAACATTCTCGAATCTATTTTATACTCACGAATACTGTTTTATACATACCAGGTAGGTTCAGTGTCAGGTACTTGTTGATATATTTCGCGAGAGCAACAGGGAGTCGGTCAGGACGCAGCATTCTCAATAAGAGAAGCTGGTGGAACTCAGATAATGGTCCGAGATCTGGTGACTTGGACGTGTTCTCTTTAGTACTCTTATTACTTTCTGTAGAGCCAGGGCGTGTCTCTAAAATATAACATCATATAAATTTTATTTCTCATACATGTATTAAAGCTATAAAATTTTGTGATGAAATTTGCTTCATTTTATAATTTTTTATTATGTCTATTGTGGTCAAGAAAGTTGCTGTCATTCTGAATCTAAGATGAAACGTATACAATCCTCTTAAATGATGAACAGTTTTGTTATATTGATCATCGCTGATTATTTCATGTTGAATGATGAAAACACGTTTTCTTGTATAAAAGATATAACAAATTCATCATAGTGATATATGTTTCAACAGAGTTAAGCCCCTTTTTCAATGCTGAGAGCTTAATATGCATTTTTATTTTATTCAAACAGTCAGGGGTGTAACTTAAACACGTTATCATTTTTATAACCCATAGCCGTTATAAAATTTTATCTGTTTACTAACAGGATCAACTTTGTAAATGTTTATTTTATTCGTATATCTTCTCCGTTTTCATTGAAAAGTGACTGCAAGTACACGTAAATTGTAGAGTACCAATAAATCAACAGGTTAATTGATCTCAGAATCATGTCACGGTCTACTGAACTTTAAATATGTGCTATTTTTAGCTCAAAAATGACCGATTTTTTCTAATTTTGAGATCGCTGTAGCGAGAATCTCAAAATTTTCCTATTGTTCTGGTAATTTTTTTTTGAAAGTATAAACAATGTGCTTTCACATGTCTGCCTTAAACTCTGTGCGCAAAGCTGAAAAGTCTGTGCGCAAAGCTTTTGAAAAATTGTATTACAAAATCATTTATAACTCTTACACGTTATTTTTTGAAAGTAGGGGAAACAAGAAAAATAACTCGTGCTTGCCTATCAAGCTTTAATCCCGATTGTCTACCATTCTTTAATATGGTTATGTACTACAGAACTGTTGTAGTTTCCATAATTCAATTTTTGTGTGCAATGTTAATATAAATTTGTGAGATTGAATCAATATACAGCTTAAATAAAGTTAGACTGAATCAATATTGATATTTCATATACAGGTTATATAATGTTAAATAAATTGTTTCCGTGTAAGTTTGTGGACATGACTTTTTCAAAGGTTTATTTTCGGACCAAAAAGAACAGATTAAAAATTATTTTATTGTA